GCAGGGAGCCCGATGTGGGGCTCGATCCCAGGACCCTGGGATCATGACCTGAGCCGAAGGCAGACACTTAACGACTGAGCCACCCAGGCGCCCCATAAATAAATAAAATCTTAAGGGAAAAAAAAAAAAAGAAGAAATGAGCAAAGGAAAAGAGAACGTGAAGAGCACTGATGGCTGCCACAGGGGATACTGACAGTGGGGCCTTGGAAGAGAAACAGCAGGAAGAGTGATGCCGGCAGCCTGAGCAGTCCTACTTAGGGAGTAAGCAGCCTACCTCTGCATTTCTTTTTAGTTCCTCCGCCTCCGCTTCTGTGTACTCCATGTCTAAAACATCCTCATTGCCAGAGTCCTCATCGGAACCCAACGAATCCAGAAAAGAGTTGTTAAACTCTGCAGAATATAAAGTGTTGTAAAAGTTCTTAGAATAGACACAAAGTGATATGATTAGAAAGATAAAAAAAAAACAGTTTGGAGTACATATTTTATCATCCTAAGGAAACCTAAAACATTATTAGGCTTTTATTTTATCCAGCCCACTCCGGGGAATAACAATTCAGGTACCAGGTATCTATAAAAGAAATGTCCCTTTTCTCTTAAATATATTTATATGAAAGGGATATAATGCTAAGAAAGGAATAAAACTGAAAAAAAGATTATGGTTTTACAGATAACCCAATCACATTATATAAACTGTATGTTAGATTTCAACTATTTGGTGTATATATTGTAGGTGCTCCCGGCAAATACAAATGATCTCACAGAAAAGCGACCATAAAAAAATTAGTATCCTTTCATGTTCTTCAATATTACATCTTTTGAAATTTAATAAATATAATGGAAATTTAACCTTTTTAAAAAAGATTCTATTTATTTATTTGAGGGGGGAGAGAGAGAGAGCGCGCGCGCGCACAAGCAGGGGGAGGGAGGAGCAGGCTCCCTGAGACGTGGGGCTCGGATTCTAAGACCCTGGGATCAAGGCCCGAGTGGAAGGCAGACACTCAACTGACCAAGCCACCCAGGCGCCCCTGGAAATTTTATCTTTAAGTTTCACTAAAATATACTAACAACTAAATCCAAGATTGCTTTTTTCTTTAATAAAGTGTTTCCACTGGCAGATTTACTAATGACTGTAAATAAAGAATCCTGGGGGTGGGATGGGGTGGGGGGCTGGGTGGCTCAGTCAGTTAAGAGGTTGACTTCAGCTCAGGTCATGATCTCACAGTCCTGGGAACAAGTCCCACTTTGGGCTTCTTGCTCAGTGGGGAGTCTGCTTGTCCCTCTGCCCCCCCTTCCCGCTCACGTTCTAATAAATAAAATCTTAAAAAAACAAACAAAAGAATCCTAGAATCATTTGTACTTAAGTGTCTTTGCTTTAAAATATAATTAATTCCACTCAAATCACAGTATAGAGTTATTTATAAGACATGAACACCTCAGAGTGGGAAGAACAGAAAAAGAGACTGTAACATCAGAACTCTGGAAGCTGGAAAGTAGACGGTGACTGACTTAGCAGACCAAGGAAAGCCAAAGCCAGATCCTAAGCCAGTAACGGAAAAGTTGAGAACCAATTCAATTTACATCACAGAATCTTGTTCAAAAGACACACAACTTTGAAGTACCAGGTACCGTTGAAACTGGAGACTAAGGAGGAGATAAAAATAAGGATTTGATGAAAAGTATTTGAGAAACAGACTCCCAGGACCCCTTTCTCCCCACTTCATGCTGCTGAGCAATGACAGAAGTCTGGAGTTTTATCCTCTGGAGAGGGTAAAACAGTCTCTGGATTGGGGGATGTCAGGCACATACTGAAAAGAGAGGAGTAGGCCACAGTTTGCATAGTGAAGGATGAATATAACTCCCAGCCCTATTCCTATACTTGGCTCCCAGAACTTTGGCAGCCACATCTTTTACCTTTAGGCAAAGGCATGAGATCAGAAAACTCTTTTTTAGGAATCTGACCAGCCCAAGAGAAAGGCCTAAATAACATTAACATCATCCCCAAAACAGTCCCACCCAGTAAAACTCACAGTTGACAAGCCCTAGCTATTCATATGCTCAGAGCTTCCAATCAACCTTTAGTCTCCTCTTCTTAATCATGAACCACAGCCACGGATTACTACGTATCTGAGGAAAGTCTCTAATAAGAAATATAAAGAGCATGGGGTGCCTGGGTGGCTCATATGGCTAAGTGTCTGCCGTAAGCTCAGATAATGATACCCAGGGTCCTGGGATCAAGCCCCATGTTGAGTGCCCTGCTCAGCGGGGGGAGTCTGCTTCTCCCTCTCCCTCTGCCTCTCCCCCTGCTCATGTTCTCTGTATCTGTCTCGAATAAATAAAATCTTTAAAAATATATATAAAGAGCATAATAACAAGACAGGACAGAGCAGCTGGAGGAAACAATCTGTATTCAGGGAGAAGAAAACTTCAAATAAGCAAACAAATGAACTATATTTAATATCCTCAGATATTTGAGATGATATTGCTTCTATGACCCCCCCAAAAACTTAAAAAAATTAAATCATTAAAAATAATACTTCACATGCTTTTCTGTGTGTGATACATTTCTCCATTAAGACAATGTAATTAAAATAATCTCCACACCTTGAAGACTTAACTCTGTTGCTCTTTTGAGGTCATCATCTTCTTTCTGTTCCCAAGCTTCCTAAAGGGATAAGAACACAACTAAGGTATTTAAAAAGGTATTGAATAAACTTATTTAAGGACTACAAAATCAGCTGCTCTGGAAGTATTTGCTAATAATGTTTTCCATAATCTTATGTTTGGAATATGACCTTTTGAGGGATGTGGAGAAATTCTTTGCTTTTTTCAATGCTGCCCTCTAAAACACAACCTTGGGGGTTAAAAAGGCTTACATGCTATCTCCTCTAGTCAGTGACACTTGGCTTGCTAACCAAAAGCCATTCACTATGACATTATGATTTAATTCCCTTTTTCCTTCTATGTATGAAATACCTGGCACATAGCAGAATCTACTTAGCAAACTGCTCTGTTTTCTTTCCTCTAATTTACAGCCTTTGCCAATTTTCATGGTATAAACACTCCTACCATGGCCAATTTTAAGCTACCAACGTGATGCTGAGTGCAGAGTTGGGAAGAGGTACGTACACCTGAGCTGATAGTGAGCTGGCTCTAGCATATCGCTGACCCTAAAGTCTGTGACAGCAAGATAAAACAATTCTTTCCAAAAGATCATTATTCAAACACTTCTACTTTGTTCTTGCTAAAAAGCACAACAAAAAAACCCAAGACACATACTAGATACATGGTGAATACGAAATGAATTCGTTGACTGTTGACTGTTATTTCTCTAATACATCTGAGGTTCTCCTAGAAAAACAAGTACCTTTGAACATGTCTCAACTGGATGATTAATTGTAAAAATATGGAAATGTTGACTAAAAAATTTTTCCCTCTCATCTGCAGAGAAAATACAATTTACAAACTTCATGCATAAATGAAGAAAAAACGTAATTTAAGCAGAACTGTTTATACTTTTCTCAAGTCTAGACTTGTTTTTAAGATCACTAAAGTATATAAGAAGCTCAGAATGAGCTATTCTGCCTTTAAGTCCTGGGAGCAATAACACTGTATTCAAGAAAGAAACAGATATTCTCTAAGAGGAAATATGATTACTTAAGCTTATCCCAGCTATAAAGTCTATGAGGAAACCCAGATGGTAAAAGTCTTTTAGCTATTAATAGAATGATGCAGGTATACCAAACTAATGAAAGCTCATCTTATATTTCTCAGATGTGAAAATAGGTTTATCAGGTAGTTTTAACTGGGTCAACTGACAAGAAATAGGATATTCGTCTTTTGTATATGAAAAAGAGGGGTACTGAATTTTTTCTTTTTCTGCACTATAAGGAACTATTGTTAAGAAATCAGACGTTGGTCTTTTAGATTAAGAATAAATTTTCTAAAACAAATGATTACTATCCATCATTTGTAAAATGGGTGACATGAATGCATCTTGATGGCCAGGAGGCTAGGGAGGTACTTCTTGTAAATAAAAGGATACAGAACAGCTGGTTCAGAAATCATTTTAAAGCAGTTCTCAACCTTGACTGAACACTAGAATAACTGTGGGAAGTTTTAAAAAATGAAGGAAGCAAGTAAGGAGGGAGAGAAGAGAGGGAGAGAGGGAGGGAGGAAGGAAGAAGGAAGGAAGAGAGGGGAGGGGGAAGAAAGAGACAGAAAGAAAAAAGGAAAGAAATCTAGATGCTCAGACCATACACTAGAATCAATTCTATCAGAATTCCTGAGGGGAAGAACAACCCAAGCATCAGTATTTTTTAAAGCTCCCCAGATGATATTAATGTGTAGTTAAGGTTGAACCCCTCTGTTCTAGACAAATTAGATTTTTTTTTAAAGTTTTTATTTTTAAATAATCTTTACACCCAACATGGGGCTCCAACTCACAACTCTGAGATCAAGAGTCGCATGTTCCACCAACTGAGCCGGCCAGGAGCCCTAAGACAAAAATAGATTTCTTAATTTGATTATTTGTAAACACGAAAACTGTGTGTTTATTCTAGGGAGTTTTAGTAAATTTTTATTACTAGCATGACTCGGATTGCATTGGATTAGACAACCATGAAGACCTCACCTTTTAGTCAGATACCTCAGGGAACTGCAATGGTGCAATCAACCAGCTCTGCCAAATATAAGCATGATGAACTAAAAATTTAAGAACAGATTATTATATGGGGCGCATGGCTGGCTCAGTTGGTGGAGCATGAGCCTCTTGATCTCGGGGTTGTGAGTTTGAGCCCCATGTTGGGTGTAGAGACTACTTAAAAATAAAATCTTAAAAAAAATAGATAAGAAAAGAGCAGAAGCAGATAAATGTTAGTCAATGGCTGAAATCTGAAATTTCAAATACTATTCAGATAATATTCCTGAGAATTTTATGTTCAAATAATTCATAGGAAAGGATTCATATTGTGAGAAAGTGACCAGAACAAATACAATGCCTTAAAATATTAGTGATAAAATCATGGTGGTATGCTGGCTGTTTCTATAGCTTGCAAAACAAACTTGGACTGGGGATGATCTCTAATAACCCACCTTTCTTTGGCATGCAATGAATTATAGTAATGGGAAGTAATCAACAATACATTTTGTTGTATCTAGATTTAAAAAAAAAAACAAACCCAAAACGAAAAAAAGACTATCACTGTTTCTATTTCAAACCCAAGGCAAAGCTCCAAAGTTTGTTTGTTTTGATGTATCAATGGTTTACTGTATGTAAATTACCTGGAATGATGCCTGACACACAGTAAGTGCTTAACACATGTTAGCTGTTGTTATTACTGGGAAAGATAGATATGGAGAAAACAGCAATATAATTATCACTTACTTGCTCTTGAAGGCTCTGAGCCAATGCCTGCTGAAGCTCTTGCTCTTCCCTTTCACGCTCCATATCATACTGCTGGAGCCAATCGACCTCTCCTTGAGATCCTTCTGGAGTTTTGTTTTCTTTATTCTCATCACAGTCTTTAGTTATCTCAGTAAAACCGGCAGACTCTGAGGAAGCAAAACAGGACATAACTGGGAAAGCTGCTCTAATAAACTGAAATCTCTGGATTAGAGTGACATCTACTGTTCAGAGAGAGTAATTTACCTGAGCCTCATACATAATTTGCTTGGGACATACAATTTCATTTTACTACATTTAGATCATGGTTTCTCAATCTCAGCACTACTGACATTCTGGGTGGGATAATTTTTTGCTGTTTGAGGGGGCTGTCTTATGCACTGCAGAATGTTTAGCAACATCCTTGGCCTCTACCTACTAGATGCCAGTAGCACCCCTCTCACCGAGCAGCGACAACCAAAAATGACAGATATTGTCAAATGTCCCCCGGGGGGACGAAACTGTCCTTGGTTGAGAATCACTGATCTACCGAAATGGTTCTGAAACTTAACCAATCATCAGAAGCATTATCGTTAAGGATGGAGATGAATGAATAGCCATATTCACAGCCAGTCACAATGTCACATGACCAAGTACTAGGAGTAAATAAGAATTAGGCTAGAATGATTATCTTAATATTGAGGGTTTTCCATTATTAAACTGTATGTCAAATGAGTGTGTATTCTCACATTAATGATCAAATAAGCCTTGTACATATTCTAAAGCAAAAGAGCTACATGAAATATATAATAAACACCTCATGTACTGCACAAACAAAAGACAATATATATGTTTAAAACATTCATCCAAGAAGATAAGAAAAAAAATTAATCTTTCATTTCTTCCCATTCCTTCTCAATCTCTAGATCACAGCTAGCTAGGATAAACAATATGGTCATGATTTTGTTCTGGTGAAACAGATTTTGTTCTGTTAGAACAACATTTCATTATAATTTTAATACAGATAAGAGTGGGTGGATAAGAGCTTTCTCTTTCTCACTTTATAAAAGCAAAAATTCTCATCTTAACAAGGAAATTCTCATAAAAAGAATTTAATTGGTCAACAAGAATTACCTTTACAGATTTTATATGGATTGCTTTAAAATCAGTATATGCTTAAGGTGCCTGGGTGGCTCAGTCAGTTAAACACTGGACTCTTGATTTCGGCTCAGGTCATGATCTCAAAGTATGGAGATTAAGCCCCATGTTGGGATCAACACTGGGCGGGGAGCCTGCCTAAGATTCTCTCTCTCCCTCTCCCCCCATTTGCACTCTAAAATAAATAAGTAAATAAAGGTAAGTAAAATCAGTATATGCGCTTTACTTGCCCTATTACTGCATTTTAACTACTTAAATGATACTTTTCTATAGCCCAGACTATAAACTCTGAAATTTACAGTATCTTTTTATTTATTTATTTTTGTTTAAAGATTTTATTTATTTGACAAAGAGAGACACAATGAGAGAGGGAACACAAGCAGGGGGAGTGGGAGAGGGAGAAGCAGGCTTCCGCGGAGCAGAGAGACCGATGTGGAGCTCGATCCCAGGACTCTGGGATCATGACCTGAGCCGAAGGCAGACGCTCAACGACTGAGCCACCCAGACGCCCTTTTTTTTTTCCCCTTTTTTTTAAGGTTTTATTTATTTGTGAGAGAGAGAGAGAGAGAGCACAAGCAGGGGGAGCTGCAGGCAGAGGCAGAGGGAGAAGTAGGCTCCCCGCTGAGCAAGGAGCCCAACAAGGGACTCAATCCCGGGGTCCTGGGATTATGACCTGAGCGAAAGGCAGACACTTAATCGACTGAGCCATCCAGGTGTCCCTGAAGTTTACAGCATCTTGATTTTAGACTCTAAGTCAGTAAGTAGTTCATCGTTTTTTAACTGTATTAAATTGCCAAGTGAATATTTACCTTTAAAAACTAACTCTGAATATTCATTAAAAGAGAAAAACCCTCAGGTATATTAAGGGCAAGAGCAATATGATCCCAATTTTAAAAAATTTTTAAAAATTATATAAAAGATGTCAGTAATTTCTTCCTTTCCTCTGTTCTTGGAGAAACAGTCATTTCCACAGTCTGTGAGGGGCAGCTCTGAAGTCTATCTGACCCTGTCCCTCTGGCCTTAGCTTACTGCACCAGGAATGGATATTTGAGTCAACCAATCAGATTATTTCTGGAAATCTGAGACTGAGGCATTCAAAGTTAGCTGATGTTGAACATTTCAAGTGGAAGAAAGATTTGGGAGTTAAGGCTGCTATTTTAGGGCCTAAGTTAAATATTACTTTTATTACCAAAATATACTCAATTAAAAAAAGGTGACAGAGGTACAATTTTTCTTAACCAATAATTTTCAGCGTTCCATGTATCAATGTGCTCCACACAATCCTAAAATTACACTATCAATTAATCCATGTGATAGAAAACCAATCAAGAAAGTTTACTTTTTTAAGATTTTATTTATTTGAGAAAGAGAGAGAAAGCACACAAGTGAGAGAACACAAGCAGGGGAGAGGGGCAAAGTGAGAAACAGACTCCCCGCTGAGCAGGGAGCCCGACGTGGGGCTTGATCTCAGGACTCCAGGATCACGACGTGAGCCTGAAGGCAGACACTTAACCGACTGAGCCACTCAGCAAGCACTTATTTGGCTTGCCATTTTTTAAGGTAAGTAAAATCAGTATATGGAAGTTTACTCTGAGATAGTCAAGACAGATTTATCTTCAGGACAAGATTATCAGATGGATACAAACATTACTTAAGATCTATGGGAACAAATATAACCATGGAATAACAACACACTTTTAAGGAACCTGAACAATGGATAGAAGGAAAACCATGTGTTAAAACTCAACACTCTTACATTGAATACAGATTATCTGACTCTTCCTCTATCCCAAATGAAACCTTTCCTACAGTCTTTATTTCAATGAATGGGATCACCATACACAGTCTTTTTTTAAAGACAGAAAGCTGGTGCCATTTTTTACTTGTCCCCTCCTATCAGATGAGTCATTATTTCCTAACTATCTCTTAAATCCATCAACTTTTCTTTCAAATGCCAAAACCTTGGCTTAAGGCACCATTAGCTTTTGGTCTAGACAACTGCAGCAACTTCCTAACAGGTCTCACAGGATTACTTTGGATTCTGTAATTTATGTGCTACAATGCAGCCAGAATCATCTTTTACAAATATAAATCTTTATCAAATACTTGTTTGCTTAAAAATAGGCAATAACTTCCTAATGCCTTTGAAAAAGAAGTCCAAACTTCTAAACATGGCTTCAAGCCGTGTAAAAACTAGAGAATGCATGTCTCTCTTTTGCTTTTCTTCCTCAACACTATGCTCCAGCCATGCAGATCATTCTCAACTTTTTTTTGCTGCCCACTAACTTGCCAGCCTTTCTCAGCCTTTGCATACCTTCCCTCTGGCTAATGTCTGGAGACGTGAAACCTTACTTGGCCAGTCTTCCTGACCCTCCTGAGTTGATTCATGAGACACTCTGTTGGGCCCCAAATATTTACTGAGAATCTACTATGCACTGGGCACTGTTGTAGAAGGTGAAGATACAGTGATAATTAAAGCAAGATGGCCTTTGTCCTCAAAGAGCTTAAGTGCAAAGGCTCTGAGATGAGAATGAACTTAGCATATTTTGAGGGACAGAGAGAGACAAAGCCACTATGGCTAAGTAGAGTGAAAGAGGGGGAGAGTGGAGACAGGTCATGGTAAGAGGCTTGGATGAAGTGTAATGGCAAGCCAAATAAGTTTTTTTTTTTTTTTAAGATTTTATTTATTTGACAGAGTGAGAGAGCGAGCGAGAGCAGGAACACAAGCCCCCTCTCCCACTCCCCCTGCTTGTGTTCCCTCTCTTGCTATGTCTCTGTCAAATAAATAAATAAAAACTTAAAAAAAAAAAAGTCTTTAAAGGCACACACAGTGGATCAAATTCTAAATATGAATAGAGGGACTGGCCTTAAATAAGAGCAGGAATAGTTTCCTCCATAACAAAAGTGAAGGCAGAGTTTTTATCTGACTACATCTATCTTCTTTGAAAAGTACACAGCTTGGCTATAAACCTAGAGTGTGTGTGGAAAGACAAATGGAGATTTGAGGAAGAGATCATGGAGAATGAGAAAAGAAATTTACTAAGGAAGTAGAACTGACTAGTCACATTTAGGGCCCACTTAAGAGTGTAGTCATGAATGAGAGGGAAGTCTAGTCCGCACAAACTTGTGACTTTCTCCAGTAATCTTCAGCTGCTTGGGTGTAGGTATGGAATATGAATCTAGTTAAGCTGGGAGCCAGGGTTGTGTCAGGTGACTGCGACAAAAGAAAAGAGAGGAAGGAGAGTAGAGTACCAAGATCCGGCCTACAGGCTGGGAAAGTGATGACAAGAGGGAGGTGATGAATAGCAAATAAGAAGTCAAAGGACTGGAAATCTTTTTTTTTTTTTTTTAACTAGGCTCCACACCCAGCATGGAGCCCAACATGGGGCTTGAACTCACAACCCTGACATCAAGACCTAGCCAAGATCAAGAGTTGTACACTCAACTGACTGAGCCACCCAGGCACGCCAGGACTGGAAATCTTAATGAGATCAAGTAATCACTGAAAACAGAACATATAACACTAAGTAAGTTGGAAGGAGTGAAGGATATATGAAATCAAGATTTCAAAGGTGGTACAGTTACTGATGAAGACAAAGTCAAGAGAAGTAGTTCTCAAACTTGAGCATGCATCAGAATCACTTGGAGTCAAAACAGAATGCTGACTCCTATATCCAGAGTTTCTTATTAAGTTTGGGGTGGGGCCACAAACGGCATTTCCAGCAAGTTCCCACATGATACTGATGATCTAGGGACCTACTTTGAGAACCACTGATCTAGGATAGGACCTCTGTCAGTGATCAAGATGCGGTAAGGGGGCGCCTGGGTGGCTCAGATGGTTAAGCATCTGCCTTCAGCTTGGGTCATGATCCCAGGGGCCTGGGATAGAGCCCCCCACGTCCGGCTCCTGGCTCAGTGGGGAGCCTGCTTCTTCATCTGCCTCTCCCCCTGCTCGTGCTCTCGCTCTCTATCTCTGTGTCTTGAATGAATAAATAAAATCTTTGGGAGAAAAAAAAAAAAAGATGGGGTAGGAAAAAAGATCTTTAGAATGAAGATCAGGAACTGAGAAACCAGGCTGTTGAAAGGATCATTTACGAAGATGCTGAAGGCCCTAAGAATGTTAATGAGAGAGAATGAAAGGTAAAAGACAGCTATAGGAAGAGATAATAGGAGGCAAAGTTTGATGTCTTATACTTCAAGAAGCTGGGATTTTTGCAGGATAAAAGGAGACAAAAGGGTTAGAAATGGGACTGGGTAACAAGAAAACCTATCCCATCTCCAGGCTCTTAAGTATTAGGGTATGGGAAAAAACAACCTATACTTAAAGAACAGTAGGGCAATCCATAATGGGAGCTTTTCAAAGAAAAATTGGCCTTGATTAAATACTAAAGGGACCTAACAACTAAATGCAGTGGGTAAACTTTGGGTTCTAGGTTTTTTTTTAAAAAAAAAAAAAGGACTTTACACTAGAATTATATATGGAAATACTGTTAAAAAATTGTTAGGGGTGATTATTGTTACGTAGGAAAATTTCCATATATTTGGAGATTCAGCCTGAAGTGTTTTAGGGTGAAATATCATGATACCTGCAATTTCAAACAGTTGCTGTAAAAAAGAAAAGTGCATGTGTGCATGTGTGGAGTCTGCAAAGGTGGCCTCCAATGAACTACGCAGTATTCTTACTTACTGTCAGTATTTGTACTCCTGTATAGTCACCCCCAGAATGAATCTAGGTAGATTCTCACTGTGAGTGCTCTTTAAGCAACAAAATGTGGTGGAATTGATTCTGTACTAATTCTGAGGCTAAACATTACATTAAGGAGGCCTGGCAGTTTCTTCCCCTTTTGTGCTCTGGGAGCCCTGAGCTGTCATTATCAGAAGCTGACTACCTTGCTGGAAAGAGCACATGGAGAGGGAGAGGCCCTGAGATTGTGGAGAGGGGGAGGGGAAGGAAAGAATGGAGAGGACATCCAGCCACCCCAGTGGACCTGTCTAGCCAACATCACCAAGGTGCCTAGATGAGCCATCTTGGATGTTACAAGCTAGTTACAACCAGTCAGTCCACAGAGTTATAAGATGTTAAAATGTTTTAAGATACGAATTTTGGGTAACTGCTGTACAACTATCTACACAGACACACAGTGAGGGGAGAAAGCAAATGTGACAAACTGTTAAATAATGAATCTATTTCATTTCTCTCTGGATTTGAACATTTTCAAAATAGAAGATTTATGGTAGACTTTGATCATGTTTGATTATTCCTTACTTTTATTGTTAATTTTTAAAAGTATGATAGTGGGATTGAGGCTATGTTTTTTAAAAAAGAATTCTTTTAAAGGTACTGAAATCTTTACTGATGAAATTATCTAATATCTGGGATTTACTTCTAAATAATCTAGGGGATGGGGTGGAGAAGGAAGATGGGATATATATGAAACAAGACTGTCTTTTTTTGATAATTATTGTTGATAATGGGCACAAGGGGGAAGATTCATTACACACATCTCTCTACTTCTGTACTTGCTCTATATTTTCTGTAAAAAAGAAATGTTGCAGCAGAAGCAATGTCTTTGGGTTTCAGTTACAGTAAGAAGGTGAATGCAACAGTTACATTAAAGAAACAAACACAAAAAAGGCTTGCATCCGATTGGGGAAGATAGTAGCTAGAGAATAGAGGATTTTATTTAAAAAGGCTATAAAGTACTTACTAATAAGTCTGCTCTCCCCAAAGCTGCTATATGGTTGTAAACCACTGTGGTTGTTAATGATTTTGATAACTCAGTGTTCTCCCCCACTGATGTAGAGAATCTAGAACTAATTGTACATAAGAATAACTTCCTTTGTTAATTTTAGGGAGATGTAGGACTGAGCAAAGATGTGAAAGGAAGAGCTGAAAGCAGGAATTATTGGCAAAAGGCAAAAGCACTAATATTAACCAATGATATCTAAGGGCAGTGACTGTAAGTTTAATAAGAGAAAGGGATTTCCTGAGGATACTTGCATCAAGAAGGGCGGGGGGGAAGGAGCACCCTATCCAAAAACCGTCAGTTTTTTGTATCCAATTAGACTGAGGATATACTAATTCTTACCTTCATTTGCACATAAAGTAATTCACAATTGATGAGGCTTAACCCCCAGAATACAGAAAATAATTTTGATTTACTATTATTCTCTTCATCTCCAAAATTCTAGGCTTGATGTACTGAAACACATCAGCTACACAGACAGATAAATATACATATTAGGGATATCTGGAGAAAAAAATTAAGAGTTGGTTACAGGAAGAGGTAGTAAAAGTTTTCTACCTAAAATTCTTAAAATACCCACAGTGCAAGGCAAGGAGGCTCTGCTGTTGTTCCCACTGATGGATTGAAAAGTAACAAAATATGAATAATTACCACAAAGTAAATTTTGATCTGTATAGCACTTTACACTATATGACCTAACATTCTACTCACAACCTTCTGAAGTATGCCTGGTGTATTCCTATACAGAGATAAGAAAATGGAGTACCAAAGAGGTTAAATCGCCTATTTAGAAAATTTATAGCTATGGAGCGGCTGGGCAGCTCAGTTGGCTAGGCGTACAACTCTTGATTTCGGCTCAGGTTGTGATGTCAGGGTCATGAGATCGAGACCTGCGTCAGTCAGGCTCTGTGCTCAACCCAGTCTGCTTGTCCCTCTTCCTCCCCTCTACTCTCCTCGCTCTTTCGCTCTCTAAATGAATAAATCTTTAAAAAAAATTCATAGCTAGTCAGTGGGACAGCCAAGATGAGAGGCTTAAAACCTGACCACTTAGTTCAGGTGTCTTTCTACCATTATAAAGGGATGAATCCAAAGGAAAGAGAACTTGAATTATTCATACACTAAAACTTGGTACAAATTCAGATACAGAAAAATGAGGAAAGAATTATACAAATTTCTGAGAGAGCAGTGGTTAAAAAAAAAAAAAAGGGACAAAAAAAATGACACATTTACTTAAATGCACAAAAGAATTCTAACTTTTGGGGCGCCTGGGTGGCTCAGTCATTAAGCGTCTGCCTTCAGCTCAGGTCATGATCCCAGGGTCCTGGGATCGAGCCCCGCGTCGGGCTCCCTGCTCAGCAGGGAGCTGCTTCTCCCTCTCCCACTCCCCCTGCTTGTGTTCCTGCTCTCACTAGCTCTCTCTGTCAAATAAATAAATAAAATCTTTAAAAAAAAAAGAATTCTAACTTTTCTTTTGATGTACACTTAAAGGGATACGGCATACTTTACCATCAGTCTCTGGATACTACTCGCAATATATAACTTCTCATTTTTTAAATTTTTTTTTTTTAAAAAAGCATGAAAATATGATTAGCCCTATTACACAGATCCATTTCACCTCCCATTATTTACAAGCCACTTGTCCCTATAAGGCTTTAGAACACAGTTGTGCCTTAACAGATATTTATTTTCATTAAACCTACCGGTCTCTGTGACTGTTTTGGGCTTCTCAGTCTCCACAGTGTCTTGATTTTCAGGCATTTCTTGAATATCATCTTCTGCAAATCCAGTATCTGGGCTGCTGGTTGGTTTATCATCATCTTCATGACTCAGAGTTGGTGAAGCTTCTCTCTTACTCATCTCTAAAACAGCTGCTAGAAGCTCTTCTTCGCTCATTCCGTCAAATCCGGAGTTTTCCAATTCAGACTTATCAGGCTCTATTCTACATGATTTTGAATCCTGAAAAAGAGAGTCACTTTTAGAGGAAACCAGAATGCCTGAGAATACAGCAATCTTAAGAGTTTAAAGTGAGTTTATTTCTAAAATGTTTCCTTTCTTTGACATTTTGAGTTAACAATCAATAGCCAATATATGAATTCACTGGCAAGCCTAATTTTCTAGGGATACATTTTATTGATTATAGTGTTAAGTATAGGATTTGGAAAATACATAAAAATTCACTCAAAATCCATCACTCAGAGATAATTACAGTAAGTATTTTTGGTGTATTTTCTTCCAGACATACGTGGATCACACTACAGACACTGTCACTACATGTAGTATTTCTTTTTTTGAAAATTATTTTATATTTTTAAATTTACTTAAATTTGATTTAGTTAACATACAGTGTATTATTAGTTTCAGGGGTAGAATTTAGTGATTCATCAGTTGCATATAACACCCAGTGCTCATTACATCAAGTGCCCTCCTTAATGTCCAATTACCCCATCCCCTCACACTCACCTCTCCACCAGCAACCCTGTTTGTTCCCTATAGTCAAGAGTCTCTTATAATTTGCCTCCCTCTGTTTTTACATTATTTTATTTTTCCTTGCCTTCCCCTATGTTCGTCTGTTTTGCTTAAATTCCACCATACGAGTGAAATCATATGGTATTTGTCTTTCTCTGATTATTTCATTTATCAAGATACCCTCTAGTTCCATCCACATCATTACAAATGGCAAGATTTCACTCTTTTTGATGGCTGAATAATATTCCATTGTATGTATACCACATTTTCTTTATCCATTCATCTGTTGATGGGCATCTGGGCACTTTCCATAGTTTGGCTATTGTGGACACCGCTGCTATAAATTTACATTGGGGTGCATGTGCCCCTTCGAATCACTATTTTTGAATCCTTTGGATAAATAGTAGTATAATTGCTGGGTCATAGGGTAGTTCTATTTTTACTTTTTGAGGAACCTCCACAATATTTTCCAGAGTGGCTGCACCAGTTTGCATTCCCACCAACAGTGTAAGATGGTTCCCCTTTCTCCACATCCTCGCCAACATCTACTGTTTTCTGAGTTGTTAATTTTAGCCATTCAGACCGTACACCTAATATTTCTTTTTTTTCCTAGTATTTTTTTTAAATTATCTATATATACCTTTATTAATCACTATTGTTCCAGCAGTTTTAAAGTTCAATGAATAATCTTATTAGGGAGAAAATTCAATTGTAAATTGAATCAGTATAAACCAAGTTACTGGGTAACTTCATATTGCTCTGAAAGAAACACAGAACTTACGCTGTTCAGTTAGAATAGCGGTGCAAAAATATTTATAACACCTCTCAAGATACTTACTGCTACTGTAATTTTATATGAAAATAAGTGTATTTTTCAATAAAGCATTCATAAGTTAATCTTTGTTTAGTTATATAGAGAAAGCGTATTTAGTTTCCTGCATAAATGACAAAGAACAATAATTTATTGGTTTATTTTGTCTCTACAAAGTCAGATATTTCCTAGTATTTCTATTTAAATGTTAAGTCACCATCTTTTTTTTCTTCTTTTCAAATAAATGAGAAAAATAAAAACAACATCAAGATTATATAAATATTCAGAAGTTATTTTCTAAAGAACTTTCTCTTATTTCTGGGAGAGCTTCTGACTTTCTATCATTTCTCATTGAGGGTGAGCAGCCACAAACTATCTTTAGCTTTAAAATAAGACGGGAAACAAGTCAATAAAAATTAACTACTAAATTAATTGTTATCTTAACAAAAGGGAGATTTAAAATCAGTCAAATGAGATGATGCAAACTCCTAGGAAAGCTTGTATCTTCAAAGTATTAACTATTATTATGTGTCAAGATAGAAAATTATAAAGTTACGCCTTCTCACATTATTTAAACCTCTAGATTACCTGGTTGGCCTGTTGATGTAAAACGTTTACTCCAGTCTCCCCCATAAATTAGCAATTAGTATTAAATAAAGCAAATAATTATTTCAGGACCCATATGTAAAAGTTGCTCTGAAGATTAACAGGAGAAAGCAATTTACCTGTAACAACTTTCACTTCTAAAGTCTCAATCATGGAAACAACCTAACTGTCCATCAATGGATAAATAAAAATGTGGTATACATATACAATAGAATACTATTCTGCCACAAAAAAAGAAATGAAATCTTGCCATTTGCAACAACATGGATGGACCTTGAAGGTATTATGTTAAGTGAAATAAGTCAGACAGAGAAAGACAAATACCATGTAATCTTGCTTACATGTGGAATCTAAAAAACAAAACAAAACAAAACCCCACCCAGCTCATAGATGTAGAGAACAGACTACTGGTAGCTAGGAGTGGAAGCCTGTGTGTGTGAGTGTGAGAGAGAGAAATGGATAAAGCAGGCCAACTTCCTGTTATAAAATAACTTAGTCATGAGGATGTAATGTACAGAATTAGACTACTGTTAATATTTTATTGCAGATTTGGAAGTTGCTTAAGAGAATAGATCTTAGAAGTCCTTACCACAAGAAAAAAAATTTTTTTTGCTAAATATGTATGGTAATGGATGTTAACTAGACTTGCTGTGGTAATCTTATTGCAAAACATACAAATACTGAATCAATATGCTGTACACCTGAAACTAATGTCAATTATACCTCAATAAAAAAAAAGTCCCAATCCATTTTTAAACAGACTGGTTTTGTAGTTACACAAAGTATACTCTTTAAAACTAGTGTTTCAACAGATCCATTAAGTTTATGAATTTATGATCTACCCTGTGTATTTTATTAAGTTTACCAAGAAAAGAAAAAAGGTTGCTGATGCTAGTTATAAAGGCATTTATTTGGACAGTAAGAGCTATATAAATATTTGTCAAGTATTTTGATGAGAAATTACGTACTTTTTCCAGGTCTTCCTGCTGCTGTTCGCAGCCTGACATTTCACAAAGTCTCTGGCTAAGGGCCACAGAGCGTTTTAGCTCATCCTCACTGTCTGAATCAAGGCATAAAGCCAAGCTCTTGGATTTGAAGGTGAAATTCCTGTAATTTAAGAAAAAAACCTATATGAGTCTGATACATACACTTTTGTCCTTGTTATTCCCTTGATGTGTAAATACCAAAATAAAAAACTTTTCCATTATGGAAAATGATTTACAGAGAAAAAAAGATACAGCAAAAGAGGTATATTTAAGCATTACCTTTGCCCCACTCCAAAACAGCCATGCTTTGAAAATTAGACAATTCTTATGCTATAATAAAATCCATCCGTAAACCAATCACTTTGTGCCTTTTTTCTTTTAATGATCAACCCCAAAGAAGTTTGTTTTTATAAAGCAAGTACTCTACTGAATGCATGCAGACATAGCAATGAATAAATGTTTTTGACAAAATTGTGCATGAGGACTAATTTTTGGTCTTTTAAATTATGATCCATGTTATTTTAAAATTAACAGTAACATTCCACTTATCCAATTATATGTAGGTCAGACTTCTGGCAACCTCTATTTTCCAGAACACAGGGATTCAAAAGTAAGAAAAAAGGCTTCTGAGGAAAGCAGTTTCAAAGCCAATGCACTTTACTCTTTAGACAGGGACCCTTTCTTTCCCAGGAAATGGTGTATAAAATAATGTAGCAAGTTCATCAAGAAATGAGAGCTAGGAAATGAGAGAGAATAACCACAAAAAGGGCAATAAAAAACTGTATACAAAGTCATTTAATATAAACTGTTTTGTAAGACTTAAAAGCCTCTGAGGGCATTATATTAAAACACAGTGCAATAAGTGATACTCATAATGCTGATTCTGAGTCATTAAAACATTTAAATTATCTTCAGTGTATTTTATTTATGAATATAGGGAATTCTGTAAGGTTATAGAGTATAAAACCATCTAAAATGGTAAAGCATTTTAAAGCTTAATGCTTAAAAAAGCAATCTTCAGCTATGTAAAAATTTATATATGAAATATCAAATATCATTCTTCAATACCAGATAAGTAAGGTGTTACTGCATTGCCTTCTAAGTGAGCTGAAAATAAACTAAAAGAAAAAGTGGTAAAGGTCAAAGAGCATGAACTTTCTTTGATGGAGATTAACATAAATTCATATAGTATACTAAAAAAAAGTAAAATGGAAATTGGAAAAATGCAATTAATCTAAATGTAAAAACTGTAAATAAACATACAGAATGATGGCACCAAGAAATAAGAGGCCACAATGGAAACCAGGAGGATTGCATAGCAATGTAGATCAAAGAAAAGAGGCAAGTGGTCAGTGATAAGCCCAAACATAGTCTGTGGCTGAGAGCTCCCAGGATATCACTGCACTCCAGCCTATACACTTGAATAGCCTCCCATTATGTGTTCAAAAGGGTTTTTAGTATAACTTAGAAATAGCCAATTAGCCATCTTAATTCCTCATTTCTGATTTCATGCACACCAAGCAAAACTGAATGTATTAATTTGTTTATCCATGTAAATACTTTGCTGAAGGAGGGTGACACCTGGCTACTAATGGACCAGGGTCAAATGAGACAAAGGACATTGTAGAAGAACCAACGGTATTCTTGTTCAAAACTCAGCCTCTTTTAAGTTTGATCGGCATGACAGGTCTTCTAGGGCCTAATTATCCTTTATTGACCAACTCTCAAATTCTCACACTAGTAGACCCTGGAGAACAGATGACCATGCCAAATATAATGATGCCCAATGAAACCATCTCCTTCTTGAAACTATAGTGATTTGGTACATAAAGAGTGCATTCCATTAATAATTACTATATTCACAGAAGGCAGCTTGCCTGTAGTAAGGAAAAATATTCATCCTGTAAATGCATCACTTGCTCACTTTCTAAGCAGCCAAGTGGTATTGCTCATTTGTATCTTGAGAACGGGCAAGAGTATTCATATCGGTACCATTTCAGATTTCTAGTCATGTTAGTCATCTGGTTTTAATTGCACTGAAAAATAATTAACAGGAGGAAAAGAAAATAGCAGTTCCCAAATGTCATTTTATGGTTATATAAGCCCCCCAAAGCCCTTAAACAACAGAAGTGTCTCTTTTCTAAAAGTACTTTGGGACATCAAATTTTCAGAAAAACTAAGTTTAAAGATAAATGACAACCAAGTCATTTAGAATTGTTTAATCAGGAACTGTGGTTCTAGTTAAATTATAGAGGAGATATATTAAAAAAAAGTATTTGCTTCCCTTTATGGACAAACTTTTCCATCTTAAGTAAAAAATATAAAACATTTGTAGAATAGCTACATTTCATTGTGTGTTTGTTTTCTTGTTCCCTTTAGAATTGCTTCAGGTCAGTGTCTAAGACAGGAAGTCCCAGACTGGCTAGCAACAGGTGAAAAGATATTTTGAGATCCCCATGTGTATCTTTGAGGAACAGTGCTTTATACCAACAGTGGTTATTTTATCCCTTCAAGCCTTAAAATCCCTTGTCATCAGTCAATTTCTATAGTTGTAGGATGAAAATATTATGTATTAACAGTTGATTTAAGAAGTTTAAAGACAAAATTTTGAGAAGATCATCTGAACGTGCTTCACTGTTAAAGATTTGTTATACCCTAGGTTATAACTCAAAGCAGATTCAGGAAAATTACAAAGTATACTAATACAGAGCAGTTATCATGCAAAGAAAAACAAAGAAAAGGGGAGGGGATAATCTTGGAAATCAGGGTAAGCCAAATCTTTAAAAATACAAATTTTGGGTATACAAGAAATATAACTCACTTTGAAGGTGTAGAAGGGCTGGTGATGCAGGAATTCACCATTTGAGAGGCTTTCAATGGTCTAGAACTATCAGAAAATTAGAAAATATATAATGTATATAATTACATTATTCAAAATATATATTTAACTTATAAAATGAATTATTCTATACTACAGCTCCTTATATATCTTTTTGCAAATAATTACAATACTTCTACTAGCAATAGAGGCCAAAAGAGAAAACAAAGTACCATCTGTAGGCTCTTCCTGATCTAATGATCTAAATAAACAGCATTGGAAATGAAGTCAAAGGTAATGCATACGAAAAGAACAACTTGGGAAAATTATCTTGCCTCAGTTCTTTACTTTTAAGCAATAAAATAGTAATAGCTCTCATTTATTGAGGACTTACTGGCTATCAGACACTGGAGTTAAGAGCTCATAGTGTATTACCTCATTTAATGTTCACACCATCCTATTATTTCCCCTATACACAGGTCAAAGAACTTGTCCAAAGTCTTCAAGCCATTCCATTCTGGAATCATATAGCCTGGTTTCAGGCCTGTGATCATAAATCACCTATACTGATGGCCACAAAGAGTAACAGGTCTACCAGCAGAGGGCAGTTTGCATTAAGCAAAAACATCTATTCTAATGAAAGCCTGTAGGAGAAAACCCAGAAACACTTAAGAGTCTGGGAAATTATCTTTATTAAAAAGTAGGCCCACTGAGTCCTTTAGTGTAAACTTACACGATGTAGTATATATTTCAATTATTAATCCAAGGGAAATACATTTTCTAAAACTGCATCAATTATTGTTAGCAAATGTTCACTCACTTTCTGAAAGGTCTATTTATTCTACTTTAGCCAAGAGACCTGGCTCTTCCAGTTACTAACTGCATGACCTTAAGAAAATCACTTACTCTCCTTGAATCTCTGTAAAACTAAAAATTTAGACAAAATCTCTAAGATCCTTTTTATTTCTAAAGTTGGAGAACTTTATGATTCTACCAAATTAGAGTTCAAGTATAAAAAAGAACTACAGTACATGGCTCCAAAGTAATGTAACAAGAGTAATGCAAGAAAGAGCAACATTCAGAGAAGTCCTAAGGTTTTCTCAGCATACATGATGAAGCAAAATCAAAAGTAAAGGTTACTTCTTTTATCATGGAAAAATTTCTAGGAGCCACAGAAGTTCTTCACTCACATCGGTGATGATACATTTATGAAGACAATCAATTTTGGGGGCACTAGATAAAATTTAGTATGCTGTTTCTCAAACTTGCAAATCCCAAAGAGTCAGCAAAGGCATTTAAAAAAATACTTATTCTTAAGCCCTATCTCAGATCTACTAAAACAGAACTGGCTAGGGAAAGAACACAGGAATTGGTATTTTTTAGCATTCAGGTGACTCTTATGAATTAAGTGAATTTGATTTATATTCCCAAAATGTATCAAACTTGTCTTCTAGTGATGTAAAATAGTAAGAGCACTCTCTAAAAAGGTAACTTATTATGAAAGGCAATTAATGCACTCAGAAAAATTTTAAGCATTTTATTTAATTATTTCCATCAGGCAGTAATTTGACACAAAATCCCAAAATAAAGCAAAATTAAAATCTTCTTGGTCTGATTTTACCTGGGAGTCATGTTATCTAGTTCAGTCATTGTTTTGGTCAGACACTAAAGCCCTTCTACTTCAAAAGCGAAGGTAAAGAAATTCTCTCTCAAGGACTTACATTGCCATATGTGCACTCCAACCAAGGGTGAAGGGTGGTTTTGTATTTTCAGTGCAATGAGAAGATAGGGTCAGGTATCTTGGAATGATGACTTGCTGCCCAATCTTGTTGTTAAGTGAGAGAGTGACATTGAAGCTGTATCGTTTTAAATGAAGAATGAGGATCCTGAAAAACAGGAGATGACATTACTACTTCACACATAACAGAGCTAGCTCTCTTACTGGTGAAAAGAGATCACTGTAACCAACCATGTTAGACAGCTTTTGACTTAAAGAATACTTTTGGCTAAAGATCCTTCAAAGACCATTTACCAAATACCTGCCACGTGCTAGGCACTGTGCTAGGTACTAAGAATATAAATAAAAATAAAACATGGGCATTGGGTGGATAAATGAGGTCTGGGTAAAATATTTATATGTTTGCAGAAAAAAAGAAAAAAACACCAAATAAAACACATTTTACTTTAAAATGTTGGTATTGGGGGGTACCTGGGGGACACAGTCGGTTGAGTGTCCAACTCTTGGTTTTGGCTCAGGTTGTGATCTCAGAGTCATGAGACTGAGCTCTGTGTCGGGTTCCATACTCAGCATGGAGTCTGCTTAGAGTTTCTCTCTCCCTCTGAGCCCCTTCCCCCCCATTTTCTCTCTAAAATAAATAAATAAATCTTTAAAAAAATTTTAAAATAAATAAAATAAAATGTTGGTATTGGGTTAAATCCTTAAATTATTTACTTCAATGTTATCTAGTTTACAAAAAAATAGGTATTATATAACCATTAATGGTAATTTAATTATAGTGTTAAATAGCCCTTATGTTTGATGGTGAACATTAATTTTTTCAAGACGATTTTTGACAAGAACTATTTTTTTTAAAGTAGGCTCCATGCCCAATGTGGAGCCCAACACGGGGCTTGAACTCATGACCCTGTAAATCAAGACCTGAGCTCATATCAAGAGTCAGACACTTAACTGACTGAGCCACCCAGATGCCCCTGACAAGAACTACTCTTATTTCAATGTGTAGCACTTTCTCTGGAGAAAGCTAAGAAAGAAATAGGAAAGTTTCTCCACTTACAAAAAGTTCTACAAAATTTACATGCCAAATCTGGTTTGTGGGTCTGAAAAGGCTTTTAACTCTGTAGCAACACTTCTTTTTAGTTACTATTGTGCTAACCTTTTCACCTCTGATACACACCATAATCTCTGCCTGATGGACTAAATATATTTCACAGCCCACAAGAACACTTTAAAATTTGAATTTCAGAACTCTTATGGGACTAAACCTCAATTCTAGGCAAAATAATGTCTGCTTTATGGAAAACTGTTTCCTTTCTTACCGTACATATCTTTATCACAGAAGCCACAAACTACAAAAATTGTAAATTAAAGTTACTGACTTCATTTTTCTTTAAAAAGCATGCTAGAACTCAAAATCTTCAAATTCACAACTTGAGAGAACACAAGGATCCAAATGGTATGAAGAGATTAAAACTAATGTCAAATATTTTGACTAAATTTCCAAATAATCTTGCCAAAATAAAATATGAAACAGACACATGATAGTCTAAATCACTTATCTACAAAGATGAGGTGGACTAAAACTGAACATATTTGATAAAGATACCAGGCCCTTCATGAATAAAAGTAAACTGGGCTTTAATACTGAAATGTACAAAAACAGAGCAAGTCTGATAATCAGGATTTATGATACAAAGGCTTCTAAAGTTTGGAATAAATGAATCTATAACACAAGTGACCTACCAGAAAAAAAGAGAAAACCAATGAAAAAAATTCCCCTATTTTTTTTTTCCCACTAAAAGAACAAATAGCTAGACACTGGAAAAGGGTAACAGACATTCAGCTTGCCAGGTCAAACAAGTATTTCAAACCATACATGCTTTCCTTAGTTAATGACAGCTGGTAACAATCAATCCTTTGCCCTAAGGTTTGTCTCCTCTACCTCCTGCCTCAAAATACTCACCAATAGGAAAGAATAAGTCTCTTGAGTAAGAAATGGTCAGCATAATAATACTGCTATGATTTAGAAAAGTCATCTCTTTAAAAGAAACTCATTTTCTAGAAAGGAGATAATGGAATGTACAAGAACTAGTCTCTAGGGGCTAGCTAGGTTCCAGAAACTCTACACTTACAGAAAAGTGAAGCTAATAAAAGAAAGTAAAGCACTCTGCAGGCAAAGTGCCACATAAATACTTAATAATAACAACCTTGTTTGTGGTTGAGATCTATTCTTGGGAAGACCTAAAAGCTGCACCATAATCACATCATATTTTGTCTAGCTAGTTTGGTTTTATGTATGTTTACACAGAGCTAATTAAGTTAAATTCATTCCTAATTCTGAATTGTTTTGAGTATAGGAAACTCACTAACTTACAAGATCCTTTGAATAAATGCAAAAAAAACCTGCAGAAAATTACTCGTTTTATTTTCATGCACACACATGTAGGTGTTTGTGGCAGATTTTTACTGAAGGTTTGGGAGAAGAGGAGACTAGCACATAATCAAACTGCAAATTATAACTGAATGTCATACATTACCAAATTAAAACTCTCCTACCTAGTCCCTACCATTGTTCCAAAGTCTCACCAGCCACATCCTCTTGTTGCCATCTTCCAGGGACTCTGAAGTGACTTCCCTTCTTCAGCCTTCCAAATCTTCTTCCTTTCTTATGCAACAGCATCCTAACCTCCCACCCTCTACTCTCTCCTATCTTAGCTTTGCTTTACCAATCCATTCTAGTGAGCCTCACTTACCCAGTAATATCTGTAAGTACTTTAAAGAAGAAAAACTGAAGAGCAATTCATTTTACCTGGGTAGCCTGTTAAATTTGTGCCTGACAAGAGCACACTTCCCACCACACTTCTCACAGGAATACTCAAGTTCTTCTGCCTGTAAAAAGACAAGAGGGAAAAATAAAGAAGCATGAAGTTGAATCAGCATTACCCCAGAAAATGCTAATACTCTCTTCTAGTCACACTAGTTCAGTGCAATGACAACTCCGAGCAGTTTAAATTTTGTGTCTAGTCAAAAGCCTTACTAAATTAAGACCTAATCCTCAAAATAGATATCTTATAATATCATGCCCTATTTCAGAATTCCTAATTTCCTTTTTTACCATGGAAACATCTCAATTTATGACAGCAACTAGACTCTACAGTAGCAGATTCTCAACCTCTTCCCCATGGATGCACAAGAACCACTGCCAAGAGTATATCCAGATTTTAACATTTGGCCATAGCAGAGATAAGATCACCTTCAGGTTAGGCGGAGTTCCTGGTCTGTTAGGTGTAACTCTACCCCTTTCTTATAATGGAACTCAATCTTCTGGTGACAGCCCACTAAGAACAACTGCTCTAAAAGGACCAAAGTTTGGGGTGGATATCATTACCTAGAGAAAACTGAAACAAGAAATCCTTAAAAAATGGGGGTAAAGATACACAGGAAAAGCTTCAAATTCTATGATAATAACAGGAATAGTAAGGAATGATAAAAAGAAAAGCAGAGTATTTATCTTTGGGTGGAGCTGAATGTTCATCATTTAAAGAACAGAATTTTGTTTTTAACCTTAGGAAGACAACCCTGCCCATTTGCTACAACAAAACAAGAATCACTGTTAAAGAGACAAAGGGTGATCCTGACAAATTTCCATCAGTTGTAAGGACTGCTACACAATAGGTCCAATTATGCCCCCAAAACTTGCTGAATATCTTTAACAGTGTATCACAGAAACATATTTCTCTAAAGCTTTGGATAAACATGACTCTTCCCTTTTGTTTCTAACAGGTTACATACAACCTAAGGAAAAGCAGAGTATTTTTTCATTCCTCAGATCTTAGATACAAACTCATATATAGCATCTCCAATTTTTACCAACACTACCAAATTTTAGCACATGCTTCAAGTTAATATTTGTTCACAAATAACTGTTTCTAAGGTTGTCTAAAACACCTGCTATTGAATTAAATGTATAATCTACTTAACCAATCAATAGTCTTCTTCTGAGTTAACAATTAGATTTATCAAGCTTTTAAAATTAAACGTTATTTATAAATCTTTCTCATTTGTTTTCTCATGTAATTTTGTTGAAACTCTGCCTTAAAGAAACCAATTTCAAATACAATTACCTATGATATATAAAACTTAATTATGTGAAAATACCAAAAATATTGCTTACCCTAAAGAAAAGATCAAGAGAATCTTGAATTGAACGAGGAGGGAGTGGCTTTTTCCTTCGAGGAAGGTCAATGGAGAGGTCATTAAACTGTTCTCTTTTGGGAATAATTTCTCCACATCTGTAAGAATAAAGGAAGACAAAAGGAAGCATTTAGAAGTCTAACTGTGCAATATAAAATAAATACAAATATACTTCAGAAACACTGTTCCGGCACAGAACTTAGCAGGTACTGACAAAGACTAGCCTGAGTTGATAATGTAAGACTTTTCTCATGAGTATTTTAACCCTCATTAAATCAATACAGGTAAAACCTCAACTGCAAGTACTTAAGTATTTATCAGAATGCTAAATTTTATTTTTTTAAAAAAGCCCCAAAAGTTAAAAACTAAAGTACAACATACACATAGAAAAGTGAACCAAAGTTGTACAGTTTCACGAATTATCAGTTAACACCACTCAAATCAAGAAATAAAACATTATAAACTCCATAGGAGCCCTCTCACATGCCCCTTTCCAATCACTACCCCTTTCTCCCAAAAAGTAACTATTATCCTGACTTCTAACACAACAGGTCAGTATTGCTTATTTTTGAGCTTTACATAAATGGAACCATACAGTATATTTTTAGTCTCTTTTGTTCAACATGATTGTGAGATTCAAACATGCTTGCTGCACGTGGCTATAGTCCATCTTCATTGTTTTGTTTTGTTTTTTAAAGATTTTATTTATTTGAGAGAGAGAGAGAATGAGAGATAGAGAGCACGAGAGGGAAGAGGGTCAGAGGGAGAAGCAGACTCCCCGCCGAGCAGGAAGCCAAACACGGGACTCGATCCCAGGACTCCAGGATCATGACCTGAGCCGAAGGCAGTCGCTTAACCAACTGAGCCACCCAGGCGCCCTCCATCTTCATTGTTGGCTCACATTAACCTGTTCTGAGCATGCCACAATTTATCTATATTATGACTGATGGGCATTTGAATTATTTCCAGTTTTTGACTACATAAACAATGCTGCTTTAAAAATTCTATGTGTTCAACTCTTTCTGCCCACAGGTCCTGTCCCTGTGCTTTAATAATAAAAGCACCTTTTTGCACCAAAAATAAAATAAAATAAAAATGCTATGTGTTCTTGGGGTGCCTGGGTGGCTCAGTTGGTTAAGCATCGTTTCAGCTCATGATCTCAGGGTTGTGAGATCCCCACATCAGGCTCCACGATCAGCACAGAGTCTGCTTGAGATTCTCTCTCTCCCTCTCCCCCTCCCCACGCATGCACTCTAAAATAAAATAATCTTAAAAAAAAAATTCTAGGTGTTTAGTAGAACCGTTTTGATCACTGGATATATTTCTACAGAATTTTTATTTAAAAAATTTTTTTTAAGATTTTATTTATTTATTTGACAGAGAGAGACACAGCAAGAGAGAGAGCACAAGCAGGGGGAGTGGGAGAGGGAGAAGCAGGCTTCCTGCGGAGTAGGGAGCCTGATGTGGGGCTCGATCCCAGGACCCTGGGATCATGACCTGAGCCGAAGGCAGACGCTTAAGGACTGAGCCACCCAGGCGCCCCTCTACAGAATTTTTAAAACTGGGCTCAGAGATCAAAACATTATTTATCTGGAATCAAATTCACTTCTTTTAAATAGTTTTAGTTGATGTTTTTCCTTCTCTCTGCACAGCAGCATTTTTAGTAATATTCAATCTCCTGCCCCAGTTCTCTACTGCCACAGTTGAAGACTGGAGACCATAAAAATATATTCTTCACTCAACAAATATTTGAGTGCCTCTATCTAATAGGCAGAATTCTAAGATGACCCTTACCCTTTGTATAATTCCATCTCCTTTAAGAGAACTTGTGACCATGATGAGCTTTCACTCCCATGATGATGTTACTTTACAAGACAAAGGGATTGTGCAGATATGATTAATGTTACTAATCTTAATGTTGAGTTGATAAAAAAGCAGATTATCTGAGTGGGTCACGACTTAATCACTTGAGCTCTTTAAATCTGAGTCTAGAGGTCTCAAACAGAGGAAGTCAGGGATTCAAAGTCAGACATGTACTGCTGACCTGAAAGAAAACAAATAGCACTGCTGTGAACTGCCTATGGAAGCCACATAGCATGAAACTACAGGCAGACCTTAGGAAATGAGTAGTTGCAGCTAACAGCCAGCAAGAAAATGGGGGACTTCAGTACTACAATCATAAGGAACTACTTTCTGCCCAGAACTTTAATGAGTGTAGAGGGGTATCCAGATGAGAATAAGCAATACGTTGATTTCAGTCTTCTGATACCATGAGCAGAGAATTTGGCCACACCCTGTCTAGACTTCTGACCTATGGAACTGAGTTAATAACTATTGTTTTAAGCTGGTAAATTTGGGCAATTTCTTAGGCATCACTGTTTGGTGATATATGCCAGAAACTGTTCTAGTAGCACTGGGGTTACAGTAATGAACCAACCCAAGATAAAATACCTCCCCGCACAAAGCTATATTGGAGGAAAAAGATAATAAAAAACATAAGTAATATGTATGGTATGTTAAAGTGACAGTGATAAGTGCCAACGGAAAAAAAAAAATAGTGAAAGACCAGAGTAGATGGTTGGAATTTAAATAGGGTAAATGCCTAGAAAATGCCTTACTGAGCAAGTAGCTTTTACATAAAGATATGGAGGGGAATATGGGGAAAGAGAATTTGAGATAAAGGGTACAGTAGGTGAAAAAGGCCCTTCGGTACCAGGATCTGGCATTAAAAAAATAAATAAATAAAGCAAGGAAGCTAATTTGGTAGGAACAGAATGAGGAAGGGGAAAGAGTGGTAGGAGGTGAAGTCAGAGTTAATTGGGGGAAGAGGGGCTGCTGAAGAACAGATCATACGGGATTTTGCATATTACAGTAAGAACTTCAGCTTTTATAGGTTATGGGGAGAGGGCTAACATGAACTAACTTCCACTTTAAACGGATCACTTTGGCTGTGTTTAAAAAAGACTAGAGAGAGAGACAGGATAGAAACATAGAGACCAGTTTAGAAGGTATTCCAACAATCCAGGCAAGAGATGATAGTGGCTTTGATGAGATGGTGGCAAGTGGTCAGATGCTGGTTATACTCTGAAGGAAGAGCTGAAGGGATTTCCTGACATATGAGATGTAGGGATGCAAGATAAAGAGAAGAGTTAAGAAATACACTACGTTTTTGGGCTGATAAATATAAGTATGGAACTGTTATTACTGAGATAGGGAAGACTGCAGAAGGTTTTATGGAGAAAAGTACTTAGTTTTAGACAATTTAAGTTCTTTGGAGAATTCTTCATATTCGATTATATATTACTATACTGAAATACCTTATAATGTCATTGAAAACAAGTCCATTTAAACTATAGCAGTTTACAAAAATAAGTACATTTGGCAAATTGGCCAAACTAACCTACAGTGAGATGAGACAGAATCTAAACAATGAAAATTACGATTTGAGGTGTATGTAATCTTCCTTGAGCCAAAAACTACTTTGCGTTTAAGGAATTGTCTTAAAGAAATTGCTAATAAAGCAACTAAAGCAAAGCCTTTAAGGAGGTAGTCGTGCCACTGCTGCCGTGGCCTCACAGAGCCGTGCTGCCTCCCATTCTTGCCACACTGTCGGGCCGCTCTCAGCCTGCCCCCCCGCCCCGGTGTATCTAACACCCCAGGAGACATGTCACCTCAGGAATGGTGCACACATGTCAACGTCCACCCAACATCTGGGTGCTGTGCAAGTGGGGTACCAACCACTACTCTGACTCAGCCTTCTTGCTTCTTGTGCTGCCTGTAGCCATTTCTATCAGGGGCCATTGAAATTCTCCTATCAAAATAAATTTGGTTGGCACCCCCACAATTAAATAACAATTAAAACTTTGCTTCTATAACTTGAACAAATCTGTTGGGAAAGTACATTAGAAGGAAAGGAAAGGATAACTGGCTACCATATTACTAACTGCTGGTGGGCTCTCCAGCTTTTACAAGGACATGGACTGTATTTATAAGACCTGGACTTTTTCTTGTAAAATAATTTCTCTACTGGGGAAACAAAAGACTGAAGAAATGATGAAGACAAGAAATGTCACACACACTAGTGACACAAAACTATCTTTCTAGTGTCCATCTGAATGTTCAAAATTGTAGTCACAATTATTGGAATGTTACCGCTGGGAGAGACCTCATGAACAGTCTAAAACAGAAATATGGAAGACAAAATGGATAGCCAATATATGGGTTTTGAGTATTTCTAAAGAAAATTTCAAACTATTCTGTAACATTTACAGAATAGTTTTCTTGAGTGGAAGAAAATCCCAAATCTTTCAGATGAGAAAGCTCCATCATGTTAAAGGCAAAATTAAACAAAATACTTAGATGCAAACTTGTGAAAATGTGAATTTTAAAAATAAAGAATACCACAGATTTTCAGGAAGAAAAAGATTACCCACAAAATCAGGTTTCTCTCAAATGGCACAGAGTAAGAAGACATGATGGGACAGTATATGTAAGATACTAAGGGGGAAAGGCAATGTGTGATTCAATAATTCTGTATTAACTCCTGTGTGAAAGCAACACAATTCTTTCTTATACAGAAAAATTCTACTCTCTCTGAAAAAACATATGCAGAGATGTACTATCGATAACTGAAAGATTAATCAAAATAGAAACTTTTTTTTTTTAAGATTTTATTTATCTGCTTGTGAGAGAGGGAACACAAGCAGGGGGAGTGGGAGAGGGAGAAGCAGGCTTCCCGCCAAGCAGGGAGCCCGATGCGGGGCTCGATCCCAGGACCCTGGGATTATGACCTGAGCCGAAGGCAGATGCTTAACGATTGAGCCACCCAGGCGCCCCTCAAAATAGAACCTTTTGATGTGAAATGCATGGTACAGAAAGAAGTCTTGGTAATGAGCATGGAAATTACCTAAATGTAGAAAGTAAGCCTGAATAATCAATACAAACATGGTTAAAAAGCACTGCAAAAGTTAAAAATAATTCAAATTTTGATCCTGTAAAAAAAAAACCCATTTTTAATAAAAACAATTTGGTTTAATAAAATAAGCAATAGGAGGGAGTCTTTTCAGGGAAAAAGAGAAGAAAAAGTATTCCGAAAGTACTCAATATTCCACATGGAGAATAAAAGAAAACCCCACAAAAACAAACTTGTAGAGTGAAATTAAGTGTTTAGTCAGCACTACAGCACATGACAAAATAGTCAAGTTCTTAGTTCTCACCCTAAAAGCATATTCATAGAAAGAAGATAAAGATACTTTGAAAAGAGATGTTTGGTAGAATCTACGCCTTTCTGTGTCCTTAGGACACAGAAAGGAAAATAAGAATTAAAACTTTCTAGAAGAATTTAAATCACCTCCCATAAAGAATTAAAAGGGCAAAGAGTTTTCTTAGAGGCTACTTACGCTTTACAGATGATGGAGTGCTGAACCTCAAACTCCAAGTTAGTAATAACAGGGCAAGTGTACACCCTTGTGGCTGAAATATCTGACGAATTTTCTTCTCCAGGAACAGGTTCAGTCTTCCAAGTTTTATTTAACTTTTCCATGTCCTCTTTCAGCTGGTCTAAGCATTGACTTAAAAATTCATGAGCATCCTAAGAAGGCACAATATCTTTAATCATAAGATCAAAACCTTTCCTACCACAATGATAGCTTGCTAACACTGTGATTTATACAACTAAAGCATTCGGAGGTCAGTACCATAAGTGAAAAAGGTCAGATTTACTCTAACAATTTGGCAGTACATATTTTGTGAATAAGAACAAATGACACTGCAACTGATGAATCGCTAAATTCTACCTCTGAAACTAATAATGCACTATATTATTGTATAGTGTTGTATGTTGTATTACACATGTAATATATAGTGTGTTATTACGTACACACTATGTTAACTAAATTGAATTTAAAGAAAATTTTTTAAAAAAGAATGACAGATTTTATATTTTTAACTACCAGTTGGATTAGCATGAATGAATAAATGAATCACTCCTTTAAGATAAAGTATTTTTTCTAAGATAGCCTTTGTAGCTAAAATAGCCCAAGTTCCTACAATGGCAAACGATATCTGTATTTTTCAAATATGATAAAAGAGTCATATTAAACCTTACCATAAGTCCTCAGGTTTTTCAACTTGTGATGAACATATGTACACAAATCTCATTTTAAAAGAGAAATTAGATAATACACTGAAATCATTTCAACTTCCCTTATCTCTAAAATGTTTAAAAACAATTAGTACTCACATTCTGCATATAACCAGAGAATCTCTCTGCCGTAGCTGAAATGGCATTTTTAACCTTCTTGAGTAAATCTTTTTTGGTCTCTGAATTACAGATATCTTTTTTAACAAGCAAGTGTGCAAAGCGTCTGTTAAAACAAGAGAAGTTTAGTGACATTTTACAAAAGTCTGGTTAGCATATTTTAAAGACTGTTAACAACGACACATAAAAGTTTAAGTGCCTAAAACTCTATTCTATAATCAATAAGGTAAAAGGTTACTTAGTAAGTATCTAACAATTACCTGATAAGTGCATTGAGTGGAATTTTCTTCCATGGGATACCTTGCTTAAGCAAGTCATTTGCAAATGATTGAAGTGAAAACAGAGACTGTAAAATAGCATTCATATAGCAGGTATTTCCCAAATTGGAGAAGCTGAAAATGAAAAAAATAGTACTTTTGAAGACAACAGTAGTTCTTGACATATGTTCATCTAAGTAGGGAGTTCTCCAGTATAGCACGCATCACAATCACAATCACATGGAGGGCTTGTTCAAATACATATTGCTGGGCCGCAACTAGAAACTGTAGATCTAGACAGAGAGGGGGCAAAACTGTACATTTCTAACAGGATTCCAGTTGATGCTGATGCTGTTGGTCTGGGGACCATACTTTGAGAACCACTGCATTATAAGATTGTAACAAGGAAAATTATACATTTTCAAATGAATGCTAAAAATAACTGGAGACTTATCCAAAGAGCTATTTGTTCTTATTTATAATTTTAATTTTTTCATTGAGATATAACTTAACTCACTTCTCTTAAGTATATGCCCAGAAGTAGAACTGCTGGGTCACAGGATATATGTGTTTAGGTTTAGTGGGTACTGCCAAACGTTCTTCTAAAGCACGTATTTTTAAAACACTTGTATTTGAAAATATTCCCAAACTCTCAAAAAAGCTGCACAAGAATATTCTTTATCCATATTTACCAACTGTTAATCTTTTGTACTATATGCTTTACCATTATATGCACAGTCTGTTGGGTATTTGGCTGAATACCAACCTGTGCATGCTTAGGGTAAAACCCCAAGACACCAGGCAAGAACTTCAAGGAAAAGAATGATTACTGGGGAGCTATTAACAGAATAATTCCCAGAGCTCATGCAGGACGCAAAATTGATTGAGTTCCCACCATAGTGGAGAGACCTAGGTGAACTCATAGGATATTACTAGAAATCCCAGAGGAGCTGTGCTTTAGAAAAGGAATTAAGTTAGTCTTAGAATAAACTCCACTCTAGATTTGACACCAAAGAGCTTAATAAACACAAGTCTCAGAATAATCAAAACCAATTGCAGATATTAAAACAGCTATTATAAATATGCCTTGTGATCACAGGTGCAAAGAAAACCATAAACCTAAGAGGAAAGAAACAGAAGATATAAAAGACCCCCAAATTAATTTGAGATGGAAAACACAATAGATGAAAATATTGAGATTACCAGATTAGACACTGAAGAAAATACCAGTGAACTTGAAGACACAGCAACTTAAAATAAAAAGTATCTATATATTTTATGTAATACATAAAATTTTAGATTTAAATATTGTGTATATTCTAATTTAAAACATAAAATATTAAAAATAACATTTTACATATTCTTTTATATATTTGAAATAGTTTATGTATACATATAATCAAACGTGTATTTTTTTTCATAAAAACAAAAGATGGAATGCTATACAGTGTATGCTCTTTAGTGACTTGTTTTTTTTAAATTAACACACACTCTGTTATTTTCAGGTTTCTTTTTTAAAATTATAGCCACCTTAGTGGGTGTAAAAAATGGTATCTCATTTTGGCTTTGAGTTCACATACTGCTTCTTCAACTTTTTACACTTTTTCAGAGCTGCACAATTCTTCCTTGTTTCTAGAAATCTGCCCATTTCATCTAGTTATCTAATTTTGGTGGTAAAATCACAGTATTGTCTTAAAATCTTTTTTATTTTGGTAAGGTTGGCAGTAATACACTCACTTGTGTTTCTGATTTTAGTTATGTGAGTCTTCTCTTTTTATCAGTTTAGATAATAGGTTTGTTGATTTTGTTGATCTTTTCAAAGAATCAACTTTTGGTTTTGTTGATTTTGTATTTCTCTTGTATTTCTAGTCTCTATTTTATTTATCTCTAATCTTCCTTCTGCTAGCTTTTGGGTTTAGTTTGCTCTTCTTGTTCTACTTCCTTAAGGTATAAAGTCAGGTTATTGATTTGAGGTCATTTTTTTAAAAATCATGATAAAATACACATAAAGTTTACCATTTAACCATTTTTATAAAGATTTTTTTAAGCAAACTCTATGCCGAATGTAGGGTTCAAACTCACAACCCAGAGATCACGAGTCGCATGCATGCCCTACCAAATCAGCCAGCCAGGAGCTCCACTATTTAACCATTTTAAGGTGCACAGTTTCAGACGCATTAAGTACATTCACAATGTTGTACAACTAACACCACTATCAACCTCCAGAATTTTTTCATTTTCTGGAACTGAAACTCTGTACCCATCTAACAATAATTCCCTACTGCCCTCTCCTTGGCAATCACCATTCTACTTTCTGACTCTATGAATCTGACTATTCTAGGTAATTCATATAAGTGAAATCATACAGCCTTTGTCCTTTGGTGACCAGCTTATTTCACTTAGCATGTCTTCAAGGTTCATCCACATTGTAGCATGTGTCAGAATTTCTTTCCTATTTAAAGTTAAACAGTATTCCATTATATGTCTAAAACACATTTGGTTTATCTACCATTGGACACATAGGCTGCTTGCACTTTTAGGTGAAACATGGGTGTATAAACATCAGTTCAAGTCACTGCTCTCAATTCTTTTGGATATATACCCAGAAACAGACTTGCTGGATCTTATGGTAATTCTACTTTTAATTCTTTGAGGAACTGCTATACTATTTTCCATAGCAGCTGCACCATTTTACATTCCCACCAGCAAAGTCCAAGGGTTCCAACTTCTTCACAGCCTCACCAACATTTCTTTTTTAATGTAGACGTTTCCTGCTATAGATTTCCCTCTGAGCACTGCTTTTGCTGCATCCCTCAATTCTGGTAGGCTGCTAAAGCTTTCATTCATCTTTAAGTATTTTTAAATTTCCCTTGTGATTTCTTCTTTGACATTACTGGTTAAGAGTGTGTTATTTAATTTTTACATATTTCCATTTTTCCATCTATAACTGATTTCCAGCTTCATTTTATTGTGTTTCAAGAAGATACTTTAGGGCGCCTTGGTGGCTCAGTTGGTTAAGTGACTGCCTTCAGCTCAGGTCATGATCCTGGAGTCCCGGGATCAAGTCCCGCATCGGGCTCCCTGCTCAGCAGGGAGTCTGCTTCTCCCTCTAACCCTCCCCCTTCTCATGTGCTCTCTCTCTCTCATTCTCGCTCTCTCAAATAAATAAAATCTTTAAAAAAAAAAGATACTTTAGATGATTTCAAACCTTTAAAATTAAGACTTATTTTGTGGCCTAACATATGGTCTCTCCTGGAGAATGTTTCATGTGCATTTGAGAAGAATGTGTATTATGTTGTTGCTGGGTGGAGTGTTCTATATACATCCGTAAGATCTAGGCAGTTTATAGTGTTGGTCAAATCCTATATTTTCTTACTGATTTTTCTGTCTATATATTCTATCCATTATTGAAAGTGGAGTACTGATGATCTTCAGCTATTATTTTACAACTCTTTTTCTCCCTGCAGTTTAAACATTTTGTCTATTGGGGCGCCTGGATGGCTCAGCTGGTTAAGCATTTGACTCTTGATTTCTGCTCAGGTGAAGATCTCAGGGTCGTGAGATTGAGCTTTGTATCAGGCTTCATGCTGGGCACGGAGCCTGCTTATGATTCTCTACCTCTCCCCACTGCTTGCACGTGCACACACTTACTCTCTCTTAAAAAAGAAAAAAAAAAAAGCTCAGCGAAAAGGAACAGGTAAACAGAGAAGAAAGTGAAATACCTTCACTGCATATTTTATGTTCTTATCTGCTAAGACATGAAACATATATATTACAATGGATAAGCCAAATTGGGAGATGCCACTCATTGAAGTAAAAAGATAACCTTAAGCTGGTACAAAAACAGTAATCTGAATGACACTGAAAACAAGCTGGTAGTTTTGAGGACAGCAATTTCGTAATAGTAATAAAACATTTCAAAGTGCCTTCCTTTAATCTTAATGAAAATACACTTCCAATAATTTATCCTATAGAAAACTTCCAATAAATTTTAAAAAGATATGTATATGAGAATGTTCATTCTAGCCTGGACTGTAATGGGAAAAAAGGGAAATCTAAATGCATACTGACATGGTTGAAGGTTATATATTAACATATGAGGAAGCCCATGATCAATATGGAGTGAAAACATCAGGGAACAGAGAACAGAGCACAGTGGTTAAGAATGCAAGTGGAGGGGAGCCTGGGTGCCTCAGTCGGTTGAGCATTCGGCTCTTGATTTTGGCTCAGGTCATGATCTCAGGGTCATGAGATCGAGCCCTGCATCAGGCTCTGTGCTCAGCGTGGAATCAGTTTGAGATTCCCTCTCTCCCCTTCTCTCACTTTCCCTCTGCTCCTCTCCCTGCTCATGCACGCCCACTCTCCCTCTCTCTTTAAAAATAAATAAAATCTTTAAAAAAAAAAAAATGCACGTGAAGTCCAACTGACTAGATATACTACTGCTGTACCACTGACTATATCACCTTGAGAAAGTTAATTAACTTCTTTAAGCCTTGGTTACTTCATTTGTAAATGCAGATTTTTGAGACATCTAGCTCATAGAGGGGCTGTGAGGATTTAAAGAAAAAAATCTATTTAAGCACGCAGCACACAGTATTTGGCATGTAACAAACACTTCAGGTAAGACTGCTACTCTTATTATTACAGTTATACTGTGATCTTTTTATGTGTTTAATAAAAATATAAGCATGAAGGGGATGGGGAGGATATACATAAAATAATGTTAAAGTATCTCAGGAGTAATGATGAAGTATGTGTGACTGGAGAATATGCATTTTCTACTTTATGATTATGTTATATACACGTATTTTTTTCAAAGTTCAAAAACTGGAGACTAGATAATGGAGTTACCATTATTTATGGATGTGACAAATCTTTAATAAGTGAGTACATATTTGAAAACTATAATTAATATGACCCTTTTCATCATTTTTTTGACATCAAGCAAAATATGCTTCAATGACTTTATAAAAAGAAAGTAAACTATAAAGAATTTACCTACCCCTGAAGTTGCTGCTGTTGGTGAGAGGAAAGGGGCACTCTTGGTTTGTTCCAGCCAGTGTAATCCTGGTTACACCTCAGTTTTTTAACAGAAAGAGGAGCTGGTTGAGGAAGAAATCCCAAACTTCTTTTGGCAGAGGGAGTTTGGCTTGAAACATTGGTCCTATAAAAAAGAATAGATAGTGCATAAGCAAAACAATTTTGCATGCTATTTTTTCCCCTAGCAGATTCAGAGAAGTCAATGTCTGAAAAAAAAAAAAAAATCCTAAACTTGAGGAAATATCAATAATAATGATCACCTGGGGAAAAATTCCCCACGGTTAAATTAGCAAGTCTGTCAACAGACAGCTGAAGAGGCATATGATACTATACCTACTTAACCTATAATTACTAATGACTCGAGAAAAACTATAATAGTTTTACTTTGCTATTTACTTTTATTCACTTAATGGATATGATACATCAGTTAACATTTAGGCAGTTAACTTTTTCCACTATTACAAATAATGACACAAAAAATATTCTTTTACATAATCTCCAGGAGAACTTCCTTTAGTTTATATGCTTAGAAGTGAAAATGTTAGGAACAAGCATTTTTAATTTTTAATTTTCTGAGACCTTGTGATTTTTCAAAAAGGATGTACCAATTTCTATTTCCACTAACAGTGAATTTCCATTTCTTCACATGGTCTCCATTACATTAATGAGGGAAACTGATCTCACTGTTGTTCTATTTTGCATCTTCCTGATTACTACTGAAGTTGAACATATTTTTACAATTGTTTGCTCTTCTCTGAACTGCTTTTGTGTACCCTTGGTTTTATATTGGATTCTTAATGATTTGCAGTTTTTCCTATATTTCATGTTCTAATCCTTTTGTCTATTATATGTTCTAAGTTTTTTTTTTAATTTAAAGATTTTATTTATTTGACAGAGAGAAAGAGAGCACAAGTGGGGGGAGTGGGAGGCAGAGGGAGAGGGAGAAGCAGGCTCCCTTGCTGAGCAGGGAGGCTGACTCGGGGCTTGATCCCAGGACCCCAGGATCATGACCTGAGCCAAAGGCAGACGCTTAATCGACTAAGCCACTCAGTAGCCCTGTATATGTTCTAAGTTTTAAGTTTTTACATAGTCTGATAAACCTTTTATGGTTTTAATTTTTTTCTTTCATAATTCAGTTTTTATTGGTCTGAGGATGAGTAGACATTTCAATTTGCACACAATTATTAGTGTATGTACCAAAAATCTAAAAAATCATGTAGTTTTAATTCTTTTCTAAAACGTCTTCCAGCGGGGCACGTGGGTGGCTCAGGTCATGATCCCAGGGTCCTGGGATTGAGCCTCGCGTTGGGCTCCCTGCTCTGCAGGAGGCCTGCTTCTCCCCCTCCCACGCCCCCTTCTTGTGTTCCCTCTCTCACTGTGTCTGTCAAATAAATAAATAAAATCTTTAAAAAAATTAAAAAAAATAAGACGTCTTCCAGTGACCTTCCAGCTTAAAATTTGAAGGCAAATTTTCCTTAAGTACCAATTTATGATAATTGATAATGATAATTTTTATCAAGTACCAATTATCTTCAAATGTTGATATGCTGTTACACTGTTAAGTCCCATTAACTCACAATATCATATACACTACATACTCAAATTTTCAATCTTGCACAGCACATTATCAAAGTTACTAGGAAAACTGGACTGCCAAGATGTTACAGAGTGTACAAAATTCTGACGGGGGAGCCAAGATCAAGGAATGGTTTTCTTTAGGAAACAATTCTACCAAAAACAACATGGGGAAAGAAGTAATTTAAAATGTTCATGACCTATTAAATGAATGACTGACTCCAAACTGCCATTTAGTATGCTTGGTATTATAGGTTAGAAAAACTACCCCATCTATGGAATGTTAAGCTGACACCCAAGACAATCAAAGCCTCCCATATTCGATATCCTACTACTTTCTGGTTGTACCAAGAAACAATCAGCAAATGATTTAACCTCTTAAAAAAAAAAATTTACACTTAAAAAAATGGGATGAGGTGGGATTCCCTCCTTAAAAATGTTTCTAGGGGCGCCTGGGTGGCTCATTTGGTTAAGCGACTGCCTTTGGCTCAGGTCATGATCCTGGAGTCCCAGGATCGAGTCCCACATCGGACTCCCTGCTCAGCAGAGAGTCTGCTTCTCCCTTTGACCCTCCCCCCTTTCATGTGCTCTTTCTCTTTCTCACTCTCTCAGATGAATAAATAAAATCTTAAAAAAAAAAATGTTTCTAGAGCTACTAAAAAACTTGCATTTATATAATAGTTGATAAAAATATTCCTCCAGATTATACAAGAAGGGAGACAGGGACCACAGATAAGACATGGTTTATGATATTACTCAGATGTGGCTTGTTTCTCTCCTGCTTCATCTGAGGCTGGACTCTCCTCATTTTTAGTTTCTCCATTTTCTTTCTTTTTTTAAAAGCTTTTATTTATTTGACAGAGAAAGAGAGCCCAAGCAGAGGGAGCTGCAGAGGGAGAGGGAGAAGGAGGATCCCCATTGAGCAGGGAGCCCAACATGGGGCTCGATCCCAGAACGCTGGGATCACAACTCGAGCCAAAGGCAGATGCTTAACCACTGAGCCACCCAGGTGCCCCAGTTTCTCTGTTCTCTGCAAGTACGTCTTTCCTGGTTAGCCACTTTAGCCTGTTTTCCCTTTGTTCCCTCTTTCCCCCTTTGTTTGCACTTTTTTCGTGTGAAGATTTATCCTTTTCTGCTGCCTTTTTTGGCTTCATTTCTGCTTTTGCAGGAGCAGGTTTCTCCTCCTTCACTGCCTCCCCACACCCCAGACCACGGAGCTGACCTCCCTCTTGAGCATCCTGGTGGCAGGCCACAGTGCAACAAGAGCCTTTGAGAAGCTGGGCTGCCTGGCCACACTGCCCTATGGTTTCAATTTTTGTGTCTCAAGAATTAATTCTGGGCGCCTGGGTGGCTCAGTCAGTCATTAAGCGTCTGCCTTCAGCTCAGGTCATGATCCCAGGGTCCTGGGATTGAGCCCCGCATCAGGCTCCCTGCTCAGTGGGAAGCCTGCTTCTCCCTCTCCCCCTGCTTGTGTTCCTGCTCTCGCTATCTCTCTGTGTCAAATAAATAAAATCTTAAAAAAAAAAATTCTGTAATTCTGTAATGTAAGGTCACAGAAATATTTTATTTTCTCCAAGTTTTTTTTTTTTAAGATTTTATTTATTTGACAGAGAGAGAGCACAAGCAGGGGGAGCAGCAGAGGGAGAGGGAGAGGGTGAAGCAGGACTCAATTCCAGGACCCTGAGATCATGACCTGAGCCAAACACAGACGCTTAACCGACTGAGCTACCCAGGCGCCCCTCTCCTAAAAGTTTTAATTCTCATTTTCCTCCTATTTAGGTCTTTAATCTGCTTACACTTTCTTTTTTTAAGATTTTATTTGTAAGTAATCTCTACACTCAATGCAGGTCTGGAACTCAACTCCAAGATTAAGGGTCACATGCTCTACTGACTGAACCAGCCAGGTGCCCCTACCCTAAAATTTATCATTAGCTTTCTATTAGTTGTATCTCTTACTGTGCACTACTAAACACTGTAGTTTGAACAGTGCAAGGTATATTTGCTTCCATCCTTCTGCTTTCAACCTTTCTTCATCTTTATGTTGTAGTTGTTTCTTTTAAATAGCATACAGATTATTATTTTTCTTCCTTTAAAATCCAGTCTTTCTCTCTTTAACCGGAACATATTGTATTTAACATCATGACTGATCTGGACTAGTAACCTTTTTTTTTTTTTTGGACTAATAACTTTTAATATCCATGTACTAATTCTATCACCTGTGTCATTTCTGAGTCAGTATTTATTAATTTTTCTCCTCCATATGAGTTGTATTTTTCTGCTTGTCTGCCTAGTATATTTTCTTGGATGCCAGACATTGAGAATTTTATCTTATTGGGTGCCAGATATTTTTGATTTCTATAAACATTCCGGAATTTTGCTCTGAGATGTGGTTAGGTTACCTGGAAACAGTATGATCTGAGTTCTTGCTTTTAAGGTTTGTTACGTGGGAACAGAGCAGCAATTAGTCCAGGGATAGATTTCCTTGTTAATGAAGCAAAACCTTTCTTAGCATGCAAACTCCTGCTATCAGGAACAGAACATATCTGGCTTTATGTGAACTCCAAGTATTATTCCCTTAGATCCTGTGGGTGCTTCCTTCCCAGGCCTTGGCTAGTTTACTCACCTGCGTAAGTTGATCAGCAGTCAATTGAATACTCAAGGGGGACCCTCTGCAGTTCTTTCTCTGTGCAGTTATCCCCTCCGGTCTCTGTTCTGTGAATTCCAGATGCCTTGGCTTCCCAGGACTCCCAGCTCCATTTCCTCAACTCAGGGAGAGCACAGGGCTCTGCTTGGTTCCCCTCCTTGCGTGGCAGCCTGGGAACTTTCTCCAGGAAGCAAGGTGGGGCAGTCAACAGGCTAATTTCATTTGTTTCCCATGTCTCATGGATCACTGTCCTTCACTGCCTCATGTCCAATGTCATGAGACCCATAATATTTCATGTATTTTGTCCAGGTCCTCAGTTGTTTCATGAAGGAGAGCAAATGTGGTCTCTCTTACTCCATCTTGGCCAGAAGTGGAAGTCACCTTTAACTTTTTAATATGTGTAACTTAAGTTCTCAAAAGTAACTTAAAATGTTTTAATTTCCCTATACTCTTCCCCACTCCTATATTTCTTATTGTCTAATTTTTATTAATTTTTTTGCTTTCAAGCATATTGTAGTCTCATTTTATAAAAACTATCAAACTATTTAGATGCATAAAATAATCTTTAATGGATATTAATAATAGTTACCTCTGGAAAAATAAACAACTAGGAATTAGGAAAGAAAGGGAGATTTACTTTCCACTGTATGCACCCTGTAACTTCTGAAATTTCTACCATATGCACTTATTATACAAAAGAATTTTAAAAGTATTTAGATTTTCAAATATGCTTTTATAATAATTTTTTTTACTCACTGATATTTTCATTCCTTCCTTTGTTCAGTTTGCTTCTTGCAGAATAAATTGTCTCTGTATCTAAAAACAGCATTATTTGTCTGCACTCTTGAATTATAATTTAGCTGGGTATAGAATTTTTTGATGCTATTACTCCAGTGTCTTGTTTCTGTTGTTGCTAATGTTGATCTCTTTTCTTTTTATAAATGATATATTTTCCTTCAAGTAGCTTTTAAAATTTTATCTACAATGTGGATTTTTTTTTTTTTTAAGTATCTGCTGTTTGGCATTTGTTGAAGCTTTTCAATGTGTGGACTTTCATCATTTTCATCCATTATTTCTCTGACAAATTCCTTGTCTTTATTTTCCTTGGTCTTATTTTCTCCAAAATGCTATTATGGAGGATGGGGGTGCCTGGGTGGCTTAGTTGGTTAAGCCTCTGACTCTTGGTTTCGGCTCAGGTCATCATCTCAGGGTTGTGAGATCGAGCCCTACATCCAGCTCTGTGCTTGGTGGTGAATCTGCTTGAGAGTCTCTCTCTCCCCCTGCCCCTCCCCCCACTCACATGCTTTCTCTAAAATAAACAAATCTTAAAAAAAAAAAAAAAGACATGGAGGAGAGACCATGGAGTGCAACATAAGTCTCATTTCATTTCACATTTACGACCTTCTCTCTGTGTTGCATTCCACAATCAAGCATTCTTGACTTGTGCAGTAGTTGCCTCAGTGGGGACCTCTAATCTGCATGGGACTTTACATTAGAGGTTCAGAATTCCTGTCCCTATGCTGGTAACACAGATGCCAGTCACTGAAATCCCCATTTCTGTGTATTTGCACTCTGCTCAGGGAGCATCAGGCAAGCAGCACATTTATGGTTCCAAAGCCAGGTAGTTCTACAGAAGTGTTTTGCCTTGGTTTATTAGCAGAGTGAGCAGTTCTAGATATGTAGCTTCATTTAAGAAACCAAATTCTGGCCTGGAGTCATGTTCAGTTTCCAATCTCATCCTGGTTTTCTAAATACTTGACTCTAGTCTGTGTTTTCCATGTGCCCTATGACTTCAGCTTTTACTCAATATCAGTTTTTTTCTCACTGATTTGGAAATTTTCACTTCATCTTTGAACTAAGCTTTGCATTAAAAAAATTTATTTTCCTTAGCCATTCCGATGTGCAGTGAATTCTATTATTTTGAGAAGAAATCTGTACTATGTTTAATTATTTACAAACTAAATTTAGGTTTTTGTAAAAACTTGATTCTTCTAATAAGCAGATATGTCTCTTAAATTCAAATAACTTAGTTACCACTGCAGTTCTAAAGTGAAATACCACTCAAGGCTGAATATACCTAAAAATTCAGTATCAAATTCTTTACTTCACCTCATTTTATAAAATAATCAGGATTTTTTCTTTACCACTTCGAATTAAATTCTACTAAAAAACAAAGTATCCAGAGGTCATTATATAGTATATCTATTATACACCACCATTACTCTCACCTTTTTACATTTACCACTGCCCCTCCAAGCTACATTCCAAGATCATGCCTTCTTCACAAGTACTCAGCAGTTGTCTCATATATTTATATTCAATAAATCTCAAAAAAAAATTTAATCTCTATCTATAGGATCAGCAATTAAATTTCTGAGTAGCCTTTTTCAGTAAAATATACTAATTGTATAATTTGTGTACAACTTGTTTTTTTTTTTTAAAGAAAATGTCTTAACTTTTGGTAGTAGCTTAACAAATATACAGGCAACAAAGGCAATTTAAAAATGCCTCAGGAGAGATCTTAGTACGTTCATCGCTTGGCATGATGGAAAATACACTGCTCTAGAATCTGATCACATTGCCAGTCACAACCTGTGGCCTCAGTATAAATCTCCCTAGACCTCAGTTTATACATTTGCTGAAAAGTGTAAAAAAAAGAAAAGGGCATCTGAAAATTAAAACATTTCCAGTTACTAAAACGTCACGAGTCTATGATTCTGATCAATTTTGTTATTTTAAATTATTCACTTAGAGCATAATGGACAGCCTACCCCTTCAATTCAATATTCTCAAGAAGAGAGCACTTCAAGTCCTTCACAAGGTATATAACCAACACATACCTGTCTAAGTTAGTGCTACCAGAGGAGTAGTCCTTAGATCCAGTTCTGCTGCCATAAAAGGATGATGACTGTAAAGGTAAAAGCCCTTAAAAAAAACAAACAGGAAAAATTTAATTCCTAAATCAACCATTCAATTTCATTTAGTAGTAAAATTATGTATTAGGCCTGTTCATATTTAACTGTTTCCCCCTTTCTTTTCATCAAAGTAATATATATGCATGTTAAACGATCAAACACTGTGGAAAGGTTGTAACAGCAAAGAATACTCTCCTGCCCCCACAACTCTACAAATTGTGCTTATTTCTAACCATTTTTTAAAACTTAGTTTTCCTCATTTCCTTCATAATGCTAATGTTTCTACTATTTCTTAATTTATTCATTATAAACAGTATCAGTTACCTCCATTATGAAAAATCAGAAATTGCTCATTTACATCACCCCATTCTTGTTCTCTTCTCTCCAACCAGTTATTGGTTGTGTTAATGTTAGTTTTACTAATTAACTTCGTAACTTTAACACACTTAAAACTTCTACATTTTGTTTTATGAACCTTATCACTTGACCACTTCCTTCTCTCTCCTTTTCCGCATCACTTTTTTTTTTTAAAGATTTTATTTATTTATTTGACACAGAGAGAGAGAGAAATCACAAGTAGGCAGATAGGCAGGCAGAGGGAGAGGGAGAAGCAGGCTCCTTGCTGAGCAGGGGCTCGATCCCAGGACACCGGGATCATGACCTGAGCCGAAGGCAGACGCTTAACCAACTGAGCCACCCAGGCACCCCCGCATCAACTTTCTAAAACATATTTTAACTTCAACAGTGTTACAGCTTATTACACCTTTAAGCATTGTTTTCTAACTATAGGTTGATTATAAAAGCTGAAAACCCTTAAGTGGAGTTTACATAATATATTATTATTTCAGAGGTAAGAATTATATTAGATAATTCTTTCTGGAGGAGTCTAATGTCACAATCCTGAACCACTAAAAGAAGAATGTTCCTAGAGTCCCAATCAAATGAATTCTCTTAAACTCTCAAAATCATGCCATATTTTAGCTTGCTTCAATTTAACTTCCAGCTGACATGATATCCAAATCAATACCACAAAGATGAGTCTCTAAGGAGTTCAGAGAATCAGAGAGATATGTTAAGTGTGGGAAACAATGACATCAATTCGTGGACAGTCTAACGTTTAGTTTTTGTAAAAATAGGGTACAATGTGAGCTTAAACAACTGTTTTAGGCAATTAATTCCAAGATCCTCTGGAACTTCTAACATGTAACAACACTGATAAAATTCAGTTTCAACCACTTTAACTCCTTGGATTCATTCTATGGTCCAGGTACTTTGATAATGAAAAAGTTTAATTTTAGGCAGTTAAATAGGGAAGAAGGTAAAGATTAGATTCTTTGTTAACAGAATAAAAATTCCCTTATATTTCTAATACTTTAGCCAAGTACTGGATACAAATTTGGCACCAATAACTAGTACTGAATCATGCAGTACTCCTGAATAATGTAAAGAGATATGTCCCAGTTTAGGTTTTTATTTCTAGTCTAATACAGTACGTCATATAATAAATGAATATCTTCTATGAAGACCAAATACTTACCTGATGTCCTATTCTCTTCTGACTGTTTCAAACTCAGCTGCTTCTCTCTGCTGCTGGTTAAATACTTTCTGGAGGGATCTGTCATGGCCTTGTTGTTCCTACAGTTAATAATTTAATTCAATATATATATATGTATATAGGTATATAAAGACATAGTTCTTAATGTTAAATAGTTATCATTTCAGAATATTTACATTTCACATATAGTTAAAATTTTTTTTTTTTTTAAAGATTTTTATTTATTTGACAGAGAGAGACACAGCGAGAGAGGGAACACAAGCAAGGGCAGTGGGAGAGGGAGAAGCAGGCTGCCCGCAGAGCAAGGAGCCCGATGCGGGGCTCAATCCCAGGACCCTGAGATCATGACCTGAGCCAAAGACAGATGCCTAATGACTGAGCCATCCAGGCGCCCCTATAGTTAAAATTTCTTAAGTTGCATTTCCCCCTCTATTATTCCCAAATACCTGAACCTATACAAGTGGAGTGGGACCAGTCAGAGATACGCTCATGCTTTGATTAAAAGTGCTAATTTTAGGAGGCCCATCATGCATAAAGCCTGTGGCACATAATGCAGATACTCTACCCAGATTCCCTCTGACCCCATTTTTGTGTCCTCTCTTCCACATGAACTTAGGTATGTTTTTGACAGCAAGTATCTAGGGTTCTTTTTCACAGACTGTCGTCAAGCTACTAGAGATCCTTTGCCTGCACTCTGAGAGAGTCACAGGTAAGGTCAAGAAGCCCAGCTCCCTTGCCTTGGATCAGAACAACTTTAAGGTGAAAAATTTTTTAAGGTGAAATTTATATAACAGGTTTTCTCTCTGGAATTAGGATGAAGCCTAACCTCCGCTTAATTTTTGTCTGATATCACACTCAGGTTTAATCTGCACTCACTCGCTTTCCCTACTCCCTCCCTGGTATCCCCTGGGAGTACTCTCTTAATAATTTGCACACACATCTCCATTTCAGGGACAGGATTCTGGAACTGGACCACTTATTTGGCAACAGCAACAGAAATACCACTGCTGGTGATAACACCTTTGGGACCTTATAGTTTACAATTACTACGATTTTTCATCTGTAGTGGATTGGGATGGGATAAACTAAAAGATAATATGGCTCATGCAATATCTTTAGCATTCAAGAAACGTGGTAGATCACACAATGGATCTTACTGGGGTTATAGAAATGTTCTAAAACTAGATTATGGTGATGGTTGCACAACTCAATAAATTTACCCAAAATTACTGAATTGTACATTTAAAACAAGCAAATTTTATTTTTAAAGTTAATATTAAAATAAATATTAATATTAAATTTTAAAATTTATTATTAAATATTAAAATTTAAAATTTAAAAGTACTTCCCAAATTATTCCTTTCCTTGTCCCCAGGTCCCCCATCAAGAAATGCAGTCTAGGGCGCCTGGGTGGCTCAGTTGGTTAAGCGACTGCCTTCGGCTCAGGTCATGATCCTGGAGTCCCGGGATCGAGTCCCACATCCGGCTCCCTGCTCAGCAGGGAGTCTGCTTCTCCCTCTGACCCTCTTCCCTCTTGTGCTCTCTCTCTCTCATTCTCTCTCTCTCAAATAAATAAAATCTTTAAAAAAAAAAAAAAAAGAAATGCAGTCTAGTCTATTTTCCTAACCCTTAATGGGGCTGGCCTTGTGATTTCCTTTCCCCAAAAGATTGCAACAGATATAATAGTGTGATAAAAGTCCTGATTGTAAGGCTAAAGGCACCTTGCAAATTTACATTCACTCTCTTGGAATTCTGACACTGCTACGTGAATAACTCCAGGCCAACCCAAGAGATGATAAAAGACACAGGGCCCAATCACTCTATCACCCAACCAATAGACAGCCAATGGCCAGTCATATGGGTAAGGCCATTGTGGACCAACCAACCACTAGCCAACCCACCAATTGACCATGGATGCATGAGAAAATGAGAGCACCCAGCTACAATCAGCCAATTCTGGCCCAGATAAGCAGAACCACTCAAGTCACCATCAACTCATAGGCGATAATAGTTACTATTTTAAGTCACTAAGTTTTGCAGTGGTCTGTTATACAGCAACAGATAACTGATACAAGTAATATGGAATAATAACCATAAAGACTATAGTACTGGTTGGCTGTTGCTATGAGTACTGATCCATTCAACGGAGAAAACGATAGATTCAGTTGAGCCAATTACCAACTTAAAGACAAAACACCATGAAGAATCGCTCATCCAAAGACAGTTGCAGCCCAGATCTTTAGGATTTGAGAACAAGAACATGCTGTTTCCAGAAAAGAAAAAAATATATATATACACATACATATATATATATATATTTACATATGTATACATACACATTCCTTAGGAAATATCACACACTACTCCTGGCATAGTACTAAGGCCTGGAAGAGACTGAATATCTGACTATGGGTCATCAATCAGAGCAGCTATCATGAACTGGGTGCTATCATACTCCTAAGAGTCGTTAAGACCAGGAAGTTACAGCAGTAATGCATCATAAAATGGAAGTGGTATATCTGGGATGAGTTCTAAGCAAGCAGGAATAAGTAACAAGAACAGGCTTTATGAGTACTCCCTATAACCAACTGAAAGAGGAAGAAAAACCTAGCCTGATTCATGGGTACATCATCTTTGTATCTTGCTAGAGGATGAAAATGAACTGCGGTTGCACTATAGACCCATTATGGGACTGCCCAAAAAGAGAGTGGTGAAAGGAAATCCTCCACTGTGCAGAGTTTGAGGTGCACTTCATTATCCACTTTGTGCGGGGAAGAGTGGGCCATGGATTCCTGGATAGCGGCAAACTGTTTGCATGGATAGTCAGGGGCCTGCAAGTAGCAAGCCTGGAAGATCAGGGAGAAATGATTTATGGAAGAGGTATATGAATAGCCATATGGAAATGTGTACAAAGGGTGAGGATCTTTTTCACATATTAATGCTCACCAGAGAATTCCACTAAAGCGACATTAAACAATCAGGTCCTGGTTCGCAGAGGGGAAACTTTTTTTCACCTGTGGGGACAGTAAGAGTCCCATTTAATCTAAAGCTATGCCTGCTACTCATTTTGGGGTCCTCATGTTGGCAGAGCATCAGGCAAAGAAAGGAACTGCCATACTAGCAGGGGTAACTGACTTTGATTATTATAAGGAGGTACTGTTGATGGTAGATAATGAGGGTAGGAAGAATATGGAATAACAGGGACTTACTAGGGAATCTCTTAGTGTTGTCATGTGCAGTTTTAACTACAAATGGGCGATTTCAGCAACCATGGCCTGCACAAGCACATAGTGACCAGGGGCTCATCCCCACAGGGATGAAGATCTTAGTCACATCACTAGGCAAATCACCAAGACCAGGAGAAGTATTAGTGGAGAATGCAGCAAATCTAAAATGGATGGTAGAAGAAAAAGATAATAATATCAGTTATAGCCTCAAGGCTATCTACACCAATAAGGACAAAAAGGACTACAGCTCATCCCTCTAATCCTCCTTTTATAAGATCTTCATCCAGAAATTGGGCAGCATCAATGTGAAGAATGTGTGATAACATGGAATGAACTTAATAGTTATGCTCCACCAGAGCCCTTCAGATCCCTTTTTATACTCTTCACACCTCCAGACTGGGTGTTTTCAACAGCTAGCACCTGCGGTTCTTCTTCAGAGGACTGCCTTTGGGATACTTAAAATATTCTGCCCATTTGGGCAGAGCCACAGAACCAAAGACTGTACAGTATGAGAACATAAAAGCCCATCTTCCTTACTTCAAGTTGGAACAGGCCCAGTGCCCCCTGCTGGATCAAGATGAAGCCTACTCTCCCACAGAGATCACACCCTTCTTTGGCTTCCTCTCCTTCCCTGTCCTACTTTCCTCACTTTGATCTCTCCTATGAGCACTGTCTTAACAAGTCACTTGTACAAGTATCTTAATCTAGAGTCTTTTAGGAAACTCAAACTTCAAAAAATCTGTGATATTGTGAAAAGTGTTATTAGCCCAGAACAAAGATCAGAAATTTAGGGCTCACCAGACAGAATTCTAAGTGGAAAAAGTGGGATGATCCCAAAGTGTGGTGAATATGGTAAACTGGCATGCAACAGTCTATTACAACCACCTTTTAGTGTATCTGTCCTACAAAACCCAGAAAGCTAAAAAACTCCATTTCCTAGTGTTCAAAATATGAATTAAGATAATTACATATAATTGCATAATATCTGCAAAGTGGAAGTAAGGCAGAGGTCATGTGTTCTGTTCCTTGTGATGGCAAAAAAAAATCATTTTGGAGGTGTCCAGTTTTTCCATAGAGATTTCTAATCTTGGTAGTGGCAGCATGGTTCCAGAGATGATAATTTCCAATTCAGCTATTAGCTTTGACGATAGCCAGGAGCATCTTTGGTGACCTGATCTGAGGCATAGCTCTCAAAATCATTCTGCAAGCTTAACCTATAGCCTATCTTTTCAGCTTTCCTAATGATTCTGTAAGTCATTTCATACTCTCTAAAGGCAAATACCTTTATGTGTAAACTAGATAAATGAAGTTTGTTTCCTACAACTAGACCCTGAAACCACAAATTTTGTTACTAGAAGTGGGGTGCTACCATAACAAACCTAAAATATATAGCACTAGCTACAGTAGGAAGGCGCAGAGTAAGGACATAGATATTACAGATTGGAAAGGTGGTGAGGATTGTTATATCACAACATGATATTTATAAAACTGTTATGTGTAAGGGCACCTGGGTGGCTCATTCGGTTGAGCGTCTGACTCTTGGTTTTGGCTCAGGTCATGATCTCAGGGTTGTGAGATCAAGGCCCATGTCAGGCTCTGCACTCAGGGGGAGTCTGCTTAGATTCTCTCTCTCCCTCTGCCCCTCCCACAACTCACATGCATGGATGCGTGCGTGCTCTCTCTCTCAAATATTTTTAAAAAAACCAAACCCTGCTATCTGTAGTCTTGGGAAGCAGACTGCATACTTACTGAACCTATAGCTCTAAAGGAAAAGATTGAGACAATAAGAACACTGGTCTGTGTTTCAGCAAGGTCCTATTCAAGACAGATAAATTTGGGCAAGGACTAGCCACCTTACAATCAAGGATGAAACGGAACACAGCCCTCTGTGCCAATGGCCTAGAATTGAAATTGTCTGGTAATCTGAGACTATATGGGACAAAAAAAAATCCAGTTGCTTCTGATTCTCAAACTGAGGCAATGACAGGAGGTAACTGAGGAAGTAGTTTGTGAAAAAACAACTCCATGTTAATAGTAAGAGAAACTGGGTGAAGGGTATACAGCAAAATTCTATATTGTCTTTGTAACTTTTCTATAAATCTGAAATTATTTCAAAACTTAAAGAGATTAAAACAAAAAATCCAAACAACAAAAATATTGGCCCCAATTCTTTCTCAAGCCTATAAAATCCTGTTTGTTATACCTTTAAGGAAACTTCTAGATTTCTAAAACTCCTAGATTTCTGGACACTTCTATACTCCCAGAACTTGATCAGCATCAAGCAGGCTACAAAAGCTGCATGGCCCCAAGGAAGAACACAGTCTTCAAAACCCAGTTCAGCTATGGCCCTGAAAGATAACAGACAAAGGAAATCTACCAGAAGACAAAGTCAGGAGTCAAATGAAGTACAATGAGGAAGGGAGTTTCTCCTGGAGGATAGAACAGAGACTGCTACAAGGGCTAACCAAGAACTTAATCTACTGCCTTCACTGTCTTCACAACCTCTCCCTACCAAGATTTCATTGCTGCTATAGAACAGTAACTCCTTAAGTTTCCTATTCTTGTCTTTTCTAAATGGAAATTTTATTGTGGTTATCCTACGTCCAAGCCAGCAATGTATAATGACATATGTATGAAGATGGGAGTGGGGAATACAGATGAACTTGCCTTTTAGTTTTTTTAGGTATTAGACCATAAGGTACATGGGCTGAGGCACACTTAGACCTTATGGAGAGAACTGCACATCACCCAGAGATCCTGGACTCTGAACTGGGTACAATGACTAAACGTAAGGGAAGAATGATAAACAGATATATCTCTATGGCTAGAGGGGTAAACTACAGCAGACTGTTAGTTGTTTCCAAACAGAATAAAAGAATTTGGCTAGAGTAGGCATATTTCCCAGAGTTTCTCATATATTTCTGATATAACCATATGACCAAATTCTGGCCAATGTGCACTGAAGTGGTGTGTACAATTTCCAGCCTAAAGGAAAGCAGTATGCCCTGCCTTTGTTCCTTTCCCCATTCTCACCAGTAGGCATACAGAAATAGAGTGGAGGCTGAAGCAGCTATCTCAGTTCACAAAATGGAAGCTACTTATTAAGAGTTATAGATCAATAAGGTAGAAGGAATCTGAGTCCGTGGTGATTGTAGTTTCACATGTCACACCAGTCCTATCACCTATTCAGTTTTACATCTGTTACAGCAACAGAAAAAAAATCCCCATAAATACATAAAGTTTCTTTAGCTTTTTCCCCAACTCCCTTCTGGTGACCCTTGATCTAGAACACCAGTTAATTAACTATCAACTGATTTCTGTTAAGGTATTAATTGACCATTTCCAATGATGTGGATGGAGCCAGAGAGTATTACGCTAAGCAAAATAAGTCAGAGAAGGACAAATACCATATAATTTTACTCATGTGTGGAATTTAAGAAACAAATGATCTAGAGGAAAAAAACAGAGAGGAAAACCAAAAAACAGACTCTTAACTATAGAGAACAAACTGATAGTTACAAGAGGAGAGGTGGGTGGGAGGATGGGTTAAAAAGGTGATGGGGATTAAGGAGTACATTTGTTGTGATGAGTAGTGGGTGTTGTATGTAAGTGCTGAATCACTAAAAATTGTACACCTGAAACTAAGTATCACACTGTATGTTGACTGGAAATTAAAAACTTAAAAAAAAAGATATTAACTGAGGTATTTTGTAACAGTGTAACAAGTATTCTCCCCCAAACAATTAAAAAAAAAAAAACACAAAATAAAACCCTCCCATGATGAGGAAGAGATTGTGAGCTGGTGACTGTCTTACTGTAGGTCTATCCTCTTTTGTTCAACCAGAAAATACCTATAAAAGATTGATGTTCCTTGCCTAGAAACTATGTTGGGTTCACAACCCCCCCCCTTTTTTTTAAAGAAAGAGCATGCTCATGTGTCGGGGGGGGGTTGGGGGTGTAAAGAGAGAGAATCTTAAGCAGGCGTGGAGCCTGACATGGGGCTCCATTTCACAACCCTGAGATCATGACCTGAGCGGAAATCAAGAGTTGGATCCTAAACCGACTGAGCCACCCAGGCACCCCTGGGTTCAAATTCTTTTACTCCTAGGCTAACTTTTCACATGAAGAGGGTAAAAAAAAAAAAAAAAAAAAAAAATCACAGATAAGGGAAGGAAAGAATTCACAACAAAAGAGCCGCCAACAAGAAACAGCTGTTTAGGGGTGCCTGGTTGGCTCAGTCAGTTAAGCATCCGACTCTTGGTTTAGGCTCAGGTCATGATCTCAGGGTCATGACATTGAGCCCCAAATGGGGCTCTCTGCTCAGTGGAGAATCTGCTTCCCCCCTCTCTCTCTCTCTCCCTCTGCCCCCCCCATTCATGCACATTCTCTCTCTAAAATAAATAAATCTTTAAAAAAATTAAAAAATTTAAAAAAAAAAGGAAACATCTGCTTAGAGTTATTCAATTCTATTCTTCCTCTAAGTATTGCAGATTTAAAAAAGCCAGGATGGGAGAAGGGCAATGAAACGATCAATGCAACAGTAATGGCCAAATACTCTCTATGAAGCCTATAATCTACCATCACCAAAATACTTTAAATTCTTTTTTTTTAATTTTATTTATTTATTTGAGAGAGAGAGAGAACGTGAGCGAGCATGAGTGGGGTGGAGGGGCAGACAGAAAGGGAGAAGCAGCAGACTCCCTGCCAATCAGGGAGCCCAACACAGGGCTCAATCCCAGGACCCCAAGAACATGACCCAAGCTGAAGGCAGACACTTAACCAACTGAGCCACCCAGGCGCCCCCAAAATACTTTAAATTCTATTCTATCTTTAGAATTCTCATAAATTGAACCCCTCTCCTCCACCAATTTTCCACAGTGAGTGTAATTACCAATATGAGAAACATTGACCTAGTGCCATAAGGGTTTTTTTTTTCTATTAAGGATTTTATTTTATTTGAGAGAGAGAAAGAGCACAGGTGGGGGCGGGGGGGGAGGGAGGGCAGAGAGAAAGGGAGAAGCAAACTCCCTGCTGAGCAAGGAGCCTGACTTGGGGTTCGATCCCAGGACCTTGAGATCACAACCTGAGCTAAAGGAAGACACTTAACTGACTGAGCCACCTAGGCGCCCCTAGGGCCACAAGGGTTCTTAAAGCAACTTACGATGATGAATCATTTTCCTTAGGGTAATCTTCACTCAACTCTGAGCCAGATAACATCCTTTTCCTCTTTTCAGTCCTGTAGAGGACAAAGAAAAAAAAGTTATTTAAAAAAGTCATAATTCATACCATTAAGAAGTATAAACCAACATATTCAAGGACAGAACTGTGACTACTGCTGCCTAGTTCTCTACACCACGTTTTTGATTAATATACTGTATATCTAGGATGCCTGGGTGGCTCAGATGGTTAAGCGTCTGCCTTCGGCTCAGGTCATGATCTCCAGGTCCTGGGATGGAGCCCCATGTCAGGCTCCCAGCTCAGCGGGAGTCTGCTTCTCCCTCTCCCTCTGCCTTTCCCCCTGCTTGTGCTCTGTCTCTCTCTCAAATGAATAAATCAAATCCTTAAAAAAAAAATACTGTATATCTGCATGCTCCGTATGTGTCACCGACATAAATCACAAAAAAAAACAATACTAATTACCTACTAAAAATACATACTTTTTATAAAAGGTATAAAATGTATTTTACTAAATGGACAATCTCCTTTTTCTCAAAGTATCTGTCTTTCTAAAAGGCCAAAAAGACATTTATAAACAAGCGCACCTAATGACTAAGAAAAAAAAATAAGTTTTCCATACCTATTTTCTAATAACCCTGATCTAAGAGGGGTTGATGTAGATGTCAAAGAGGGAATTGTCCGGGTGACAGGTAGTCCACTTCCTGTTGCAGTCTTAATTGACCCTCTACCTGGATTACCAAGAACTTTTCGAAATGGAATATCATCTTTAGTTTCCAAACTTCCTCTTTTTGAAGATGCCTGTAAAAGTAAAGTTTAACATAGCTAAATATTCAAATTAATTGGCATGCTTTTAGATCATTGATTCTCATGTGGAATCAATTTTAAAAAATACAACTGGAAACCCATCTCCAGACATTCTAGCCTAACTGGCCTGGGGTGAAGCCCATTCATCAGTTTTTTTTAAAACACTCTAGCTGATTGTAATGTACCATCTGTATCAGAAATTGAACTTGACACTTATTTTCTTCTAGCACTCCTATAAATTTAAAATTTCCACAACATGATTAGAGGCAGAAAGGAATTTGCTTTGAATACCTAACTTTTTAAGAAAGACTCAGGTACACAAGATGTGATTCTAGTGATAAGGATGAAAATAAATCTTCAGAGAAAAACAATCCAATTATGATTATGATAAAGTGACATAAATGTGGGAAAAAGGAGCAACAATGACATTTGGTTGCCACGACCTAAATGCCAAGTCAAAAACAAATACCTCATGTGACTTTTGATGAGGAGAAAGAAAGTGAAAGAGAGTCCACTGGCAGAAGATGAATCAAAGAGTCTACCTTAAAGACACAGCAAGAACATTCAGAGTGAATACAGCAATTTAAACATTATTGGGAAATAGTGCTTTTGACCAGCATTCTGCCAGTACATTTTACAACTAGATTAAAAGCTATGTGATTTGTCTATTGAAGAAATTTCCAATTTCTTTCTCTACAGAATTATGTACAATGTTAGCCTATGAAAGAAACAATCTCTGAGATCAACTGAACAGTTTTAAAAAGTTAGAATTTATTTTCAAATGGGTGATACATTCTCAAGATTCAAAAATCAAAATACTATTATCAAGGTCATTTCCTGAGATGTCTCATTATCACCCACTGCCATAAACCAAATTCTTTCATTCCCATTCTCTTGTCCCTTATAAGTATTCTTCTTTACATAAATGTAAAGCAAATCCTTTTTGTTATACAAGTGGTAGAAAACTATATGTACACTGTTTTGCATTTTTAACCTTTTTGACCATGACCTCTACTTAGAAGTATTTTACATCACACAACTATTACATATACATATAAATAACCAAAAGTTTCAGAAATCAATACTTATCCTTACTATGTACAATACCTCATTTCTGTTCTGTTCCTTTTTTATTTAATCCCAGTTATGACCCATAAAATTGATTTTACAATCCCCCTGAGAAGAATCATTTGTGAGAGTATAAATATTTGCTTGTTATATGTAACACCTATATATTTAAGTATTCTAATAGTTTAAATTTCTACCCATAGATGAATCTCAAAATAATTACACTGAGTGAAAAAGCTAGACAAAAAAAAATTACACACTGATTCCATTTACATGAAACTCTAGAAAATGCAAACTAATCTACAGTGACAGAAAGCAAACCAGTTGTGGTTTAGGAATAGGACCAGAGAGAAGGCAGGAAGGAAGGATTACAAAGAGGAACGAGGAAACTTTTAAGGGTTATGGTTATGTTCACTTGGTTGATTATGGTGATGATTTTACAGGTATACACATAAGTCAAAACGTATCAAATTGTATACTTCAAATACGTGCAATTTAGAGCATGTCAATTATACCTCAATTAAAATGTAAAAAAAAAAAGCCTCAGAACCTATTAAAAAAACTAACAAAAATAAAATCTTATTCACTGCACAGCAAATGGACTAAGTAATCACCTCTCTGCACAGCCAGTAGAACTCATCAATTTACTTAGAGAATAGTTTCCAAGTTCTTCTTAGTTTATGCCTGGTTTCTCTTCACAGAATTAATTTTCAGAGACATAGGACTGCTAACTTGTAATAGTACAAAGCAAGTCTCATGGCTGTCTGAATATTTATGAGAGAGAAACTATTTAAAAAGCAAACAGAAGACCTCAACAAAACAGTCTGGTATCATATGTTCATAATGCACAACAGACCTAAAGGGCATCACAGAAATAATAGTAGCAAATATTTATAGCATTGTTAGTACATGGTATTGTAGGCTAATAAGCACTTTTACACGCATTATCTCACAGCAACCCTTAAAATATTACTGCTGCTTCAATTTTACAATCCTGAGTAAGGCTCAGGATACTTATGGAACTTCTTCAATGACCCATAACAACTAAGTAGCAGCACCAAATCTCAAACCCACATCCAACTCCAAAACTATGTTTTTAAAAACTACACATTACTGTGGTTCATAATGATGACCATGAGACATACAGCACAAGTTATGTGTTTAGTAAAACTACATGTAGGAAGGGTATGTGATAAATTTTGAAAAGATTTTCATAATAGTTGATTATAACTTTGCTTAAAAGCTAGAAAGATTCAAATGAACATACCTGATTGTCTGAGTAAGAAAGCTGCCTGTTGGTTTCCTTCTGTGAAGTCCTACTGCCCAGAATAGCTCCAAAACTACCAGACCCCTGAGAAGGTTTCATGGCTGGTGGGGGGAAAATAAATAAACTCTAAGTCATTTACTTTAATTAAGAGATGTAATCATCGTTATAGAATACTGAAAAAAATAGAAGCATAAAAAAGAAGCATACTTTCTGAAAAGTATACCTGATCTAAATAGTAATTAAAATTCAGAGCTAGAGTCTCAAGCAAAAAATGAAATAACATGCACAAATTTGGGAAGATGTAACAGAAAAATAAAATTTTAGATGCAAACTGAAAATGCTAGAAATTCTCCTATATAAATATCTGGTAATTAACACTACAGAAAAGTCAGTGTGTGTCTATGGCATGAACGCTGACAATGGATACCAAGGAAACATGTAACACATGAGTTGGTATTAAATAGCAAACAACTATAATTTTTTTTAATTTTACAAGGAAAAGTGTATCAGATAATAATACAAAGTAGCACTGCTACATCTTCATTTTCTAATATTTTTATTACATTTAAGTTAAAAAGCTCAATTAAAAGTCTGTCAACTCTAAAATATTAGTAATAAAGTTTTGATGTTAATAGAGCTAGAGACTAACAGTAATAGTGGAAAACTCATTTTAAGCACTAGATTATTTCTTAAGAAAAGGTCTATTAAAACATTTAAAAAAATCAAAACATTTTAAATGAAAGGGTATTAAGAAGGGGCAGGGGAATCTGATCACACTGTATATGATTTTCTACAGTACTTGCTATCTTCGTAGCAAGAGTAAAACCACAGAATAAGTCTCATACAGAGAAAGACAAGTATCTAAGACTTATATAACAATATGACTCTTTCTTTCCAATTATAATTTAAATCCTCCTCCTCTGCTAGCCATATTCTTTTGTGGAAACTTTAGGGTTTTCTACATATAGGATCATCAGAGAACAGAGATAATTTTACTCCCCCCCCCTTCTACGCCCAATGTGGGGCTTGAACTCATGACCCAAAGATCAAGGGTCACATGCTTTCCAGACTGAGCCAACCAGGCGCCCCTACTTCTTCCTTTCTAAATTAGATGAATTTCATTTCTATTTCTTGCCCAAGTGCCCTGGCTAGGACTTCTAGTGTTATGTTGGATAGTAGGAGAGGGCATCCTTGCCTTGTTCCTTATCTTAAAGGAAAATCTTTCCACTTTTCATTGTTGAGTATAGCTGTGGGCTTTTCATATATGGCCTTTATTTTAAGGTCGTTTCCTTCTATTCCTAGTTTGTTGAGTGTTTTTATCGTGAAAGTGTTTTGAATTTTACCAAAAGCTTTTTCTGTATGAAGAGGATAACATGGCTTTTGTCCTTCATTCTCTCATTTGGTGCATCACATTGATTTTTCGTATGTTGAACCATCCTTGCATTCCAGAAATAAATCCCACTTGGTCATAGTATATAATCCTTTAAGATTTTATTTATTTGAGAAAGAGAGTGTGCATGTGATGGGGGGAGGGCAGAGGGACAAGCAGACTCATGCTGAATAACGAGCCTGATGGCGGGGGGGGGGGGGGCCTCAATCCCATGACTCTGAGATCATGACTTGAGCCAAAATCAACAGTGGGATGCCTAACTGACTGAGCCATGCAGGTGCCCCGGTATATAATCCTTTTAATGTACTGTTGAATTCACTGCCAGTATTTTGTTGGGGATTTTTCTATCAATATTCATCAGTGATACGGATCTACTACTATCTAGTAATATTCTTTTATAACTGTTAATGGCAAACCCTGGGAAGATTAGTGCTCACCTGCATGAAGTCTGTTTTGATGGACTGCATCTAGAAACAACCTCATTTCCTCTGCATCCTTACTTGGTACTTTGTCAATAGACAAGAAGCTGTTATCCTGTAGAGTTAACATTAGGCGGCTTTGTTTTGCTCCACTGGGTCGAAGCACCACATTTTTAATGTTATGACTTAGCTAATTAATACAAAAGGAAAATTATGTTACTGTTAAAAATGTATGATAACAAAGTATCATAAAGTAAGTTATACTTTATACTTTCTAAATTACATTTCTTAGTCTTTCCTGTATTAATTTAGGGTTTTTTGCCCCCAACCAAAAAGAGTTCCCATTTCTTGATACACTTAAATCAAAGATTTTACTTTTAGAAAAAGCAAACACCTACTATTAAAAATTATTTTACAAAGTAACCCTAGCACTATTGATTTTATGGTAGGGAATTGCATATTTTCAGGTATAGTTATAAAGCTATAAAAACTAGTGAGTTAACAACTTACAGAGCCTAGATGGTTACACTAGCACTAGTTTAGAAAGCCATATTGTGCTAGAGGCTTTCTTTTTCTCCCCCGCCCCCCTTTTTTAAACCTGTAACATATCTGGCAATTGGTTCAGGTAGCTGTAATTTCAAAGGATTTATTAATCCAAGCTATAATCCGGAAAAGAATTCCACCTCTCAAAAACAAATCAAAATAAACCTTTATCAATGTAAGAAAGCATCCTTTTTATATATATATGTATATGTATGTATATGTATATACACACACACACACACACATTTTTTTAAAGACTATTTTTAAGTAATCTCTACTCCCAATATGGGGTTCTTACAACCTTGAGATCAAGAGTCCGATGCTCTACCCACTAAGCCAGCAGGCACCCCATCTTTCTTTTTTTAACTGTCTAAGCAGGCTCATTTAACTTTCATTCAGTCATGAAGATCATGAGCACTCTGGAAACTCTTTTAGCTTACTTCTTCCATTCCCTAGAACTGGTTCAATAATTTGTCTTATACTCTTCCAGATTCTGGGTATGTATCATGAAGTGATAACTTTTATTTTCTCTTGGCTGAAATTTTTCCAAGACCAAATTAAAATCTTACAGTTTACTACCTAAATAATTCTTATCAACTAGGCACCTTTATTCTCTAATGTGCTCCCTCAGCAGGCATATACAAAGGTTTCAAAAGCTGCCTTTTGCTGAAGACATACCCTTTGAATAACATTAAGAAAGAACAGCATTTTATATTTTTTAAACTAGAACTGATCTTTGTCAATTCTAGTTTAAATATTTTTAAATAAGAATGAAAATATAATTTTATCAGACTTAATTTATATTCAAGTTTTAAATTATACATATGTGTGCATGTGTGTGTATATATATATATATATATTCAAAGTAGGTCTTAAATTCATGTCCTTGAGTAAAAATTCTGTAAAGCACAGTTTCAGAGGGTTTAACTCCAAAATATTTAAACAAGGAGCTTAATATGCAAAAGAAAAGAGATCACATAAAACCACTATTTCAGTCAGTATACCACTTTTTAAAAATGAAAGTTAAATACATAAGGGGAAAAGCTTGTTCATAAACAAGATGAGAGAATAGTCTTGAACTTGAGGTCTTCAACTGAAAATCCTATCAAACCCATAATTTTATTAACCACCATACGGTGAGGCCTTCCATCTTTCCTCTAAGTCCAGACCTCTCTGTTGGAGTTCCAGTCCTGTTTACCTAACACCTATTAGATACCAACATCTGAATGCCTGACACCTCAAACTACTAATTTCTCTTAATCCTCCCACCCCAATTCTTTCCCTCTGCTCCCTACCAAGACATGAAAGGCACTGCCATCCACTCAGAAACTTGGGAATCTCCCCAGTCTTTTCTTTCTCACTCCCCTAAATCTAATGAGTCAAGTCATCTTGAAATCTCTTCAAATCTATTCTTTCCTCCTGTTTCTTCCTACTGTCCTATCCTTTGATTAGGACTTTTATTCTTCATCTAAATTCCCATAACAACCTCCTATATGTCCTTATTCTTCCACTATCTCTTGAAATAAAGTCATCTGCCTAGCCCCTAAATGAATCTCAACTTGAGATTCTTGACTCCTTAGAATCTAAGCTCCTCTTAGTATGACAAATAAGATACTTCAAGATCTGGTTCATATCTAGCTCTTCAGCCTCTACTTCTGCCACGCACTCCCTACTGCCCGTTTATTTTTAAATAATTTTCTGGTTCCCTGAGGGTTGATTCACGCTTGCATGTGTATGTCCATGGATAGAAATCACCTCTGCCCTACCTCCACTGTTTGGCAAACTCCTATTTATCCTCTAAATGCTCAGGACACAAACCACTCTCTTCTTTGCATTGCTTCAATGTCTCTGAAATATTTTTACATCTGAAAATGCTTCTGATTACGCTTAAGTAAGAAGAAAAGATCTCATTCAGCTCTGTATTATTAACCCTTGGTACAGTATCCACCACAGTAATCTGTAGGTGGTTAGCAAAATAAATGCTGAACGGGAACTGATCTAGAACTGCAATGAGGCTGGAATCACAGGCAAAATCCTCATACTCCTAAAGAACTATGTTTTCTTAAATATTTAAATATTTACCGACTGCTAATTTGGGCTGAGGACTGAGAAACCAAATCTCTATTTGAAAAGGAATCTTTCTTTCATTGAGATGAGCAATTAGTAGATACATGTATGTGGCAGAAACTACTATTGTTTCTATTACCCGTGTCACCACCTCCAATCTACACCTCCAATCTATTTAAGAGTATCTTTGATACACAAAATTATAAGCAATTTATTTTCACAGGTCAAAAGCAAACAGAAATGGAATTTTTACCCCAGCTCTAGGGTTCTCAAGCATAAAATGTCATAAATTGTTATTCAAGAGTACTTCAGTTTAGAATATTATACTTTTGTATTATCTAATTAACAAATACAGAATTTTAAAGTGCAGAAAAATATATTCCTTTCTTACATTCAAATCGTATCAAGATGAGCAGCTCTTAGCTGCACAGAATAAAGAGTATAGAAGTAAAAACAAAATTAACTATTTTTTGCAGTGATAAAATAATGAAATTCTTCAAAAGTTTACAATTAGAAGAAAAGAGCAGTAAGAATGACCTTGAATAATCATTCTTGAATGGCCCATACCACAACCTTTGCAGGATTATTTAGGAAGGAGGCATTAGGTTTTAGAAGACTCTGCTAAGTGCTATTAAAAGCTAATACTACACAGTGATGAATCTATTATATATACTAAGGAAAAAAGGGGAATAACTAAAGTTATCCTAATGTGGTTTTTAAAATAGCTTGATAGAAAAGTATCCAAACTCAGTTCTTCTCAGCTTCCTCCTAGTTTTCTTTTCAATAATGGTGACTACTTCCTGCTCTTTATTATACACCATCAACAATAGTGTTGAATAATTCATAAAATATGCACACAAAACTATTAGTGTCCTGGAAATAAGAAGAAGTATTAATCTAGGAGGAGGGCTACCATTACACTTACTATGGTACAGGGAAGGTATTCACCAAAGGGTGTGATTTCAAGATCTATTCCACATCAAAATATGGTAATACCTGAAATATCCTTGGAATTCCTCCAGTGTTGTAGTGAACTACTAGGCTGACTTTATTCTCTTTTTCCACAATTTCAAAGGACCCTTCTTTCCATTTTGTAATTCCAGTCTGCATACTTCGAATTCTGATAGGACCGTGTATCTTCAGAGGAGACATACTTTCTTTAAAAATAAATTGCTTCTAGCCAAATTAAAAAGCAAAAATACACCTTCACCTGACAGATTCTACGGAAGAAAAATAAAATAGTAAGTCACAATTTCCTAAGATAAGAGTGATTAAGAGTTTGAAAGAGCATTTAATAAACCATGTTATGTCCTTTTCTCTATTTCAATACACTTTTTATTAACCATCCTCAAAGGCCTTGATTAGCTGATAGGCAAAAGAAAGACAACTAAATGTCACCGAATGTCAGTGACTAAATCTACCCACCTTTATTTCTTCTCTACATGTTCCCTTCTTTCCCATATGTCCAGTATCTATGCCCTATTAGTGCTTAAATTTTCAATTTTGCACCATTAATAACCGACTGCTACCACTAAAGGCATGTCAATCAGGAATACTAAAGATTCCATTGTTAAAGTGATTGCCCACAGCAGTATAACCAGCTTTTATCTTCCTTCATGAATGCTAAAGGGTCCTGAATTTCAAATGTAAGTTAAAAAATATTTTCAGTCAGCTGACTCCATTTTAGAACGGAGTTCTTCCCAAAATATCAAATCCTATCACAAAACAACTCCTTCTCCCAGTCAGTAGTATAAGCATATCCACATGTACTGAAGACACTAAATGAATAAAAAAATTGTTAAGAATAATCAAATTAATTTAACTTCCAGAATTATACTGAGAAAGTAATTTATTCTTTAGGCAAAACTAACAGAAAAAACCTCTCTTCCTAAGAACCAACCTAGCACTGATGCTTAATATTACCATAAAGTGGAAAGAATTTTTACCAATTTTATCTTGGACAAACATTCAAATTTCTGAATGAACTTCTAAATACTTAAAAATTACTTATATCAATAACAATATCTAAGACCTTCAAACTAGCTTACCAAATATCAGCAAGTAAATACAATTATAATAGCAAAGAACATTAGCGTTATGTGTTATATACATATATATAAACATACGCACAATCCTCTAAAATTATTAAAACATTTTATTTATACTTTTTTCAAATCTCTAAAAACAGTGCTAACACAGGGGTGCCTGGGTGGCTCAGTCAGTTGCACATCTGCCTTTGGCTCAGGTCGTGATCCCAGGGACCTGGGATTGAGCCCCTACATCGTCACTGGGCTCCCTGCTCAGTGGACAGCCTGCTTTTCCCCCTCCTCAAATAAATAAGTAAAATCTTTGAAAAAAATAAAAAAACATTGCCAATACAGACTCTTGCTTATAATTTAAGAAATTAAAAATCATACTTTGCCTCTGCCTAACAACTAGAAAAGCTTAAAAATAGTATACAAAAGAAAAACACAGGAGACCTATTAGGAGCCAGCTGTCCCTAATGTATAATTTCCCTAACTATTAGTTTTCTCAAATGTAAACAGGAATAGCAAATGCCGTAGGGTTGCATAACTAAGTGAAATAGCACACATTAGGCACCCAACAGACAAAAGCTTTAATATGAATGAAATTAGTGTCTACTTTCTGAATTTATTCCTTGCCTGCAACACCTTTCTCCAAAGACCTCCGATAAATAAGCTGTTAATAGGGGTCGAACTCAACTGCCTATTGGGGCCAGGCAGGTGACATGACTTAAGCAGGCAAGCTATGAAAACTACTACTGAAATCTAACTAATTTTACCATGTAGAATTAGTTAACCCAATTATTGCCAGATCATTGACCTTTTCAAGAAAATGAGTTCCAAATATTTATGTAAAACTGCCCATTTTAAATTTTGGGCAATGAATTCAAATTTATTTTTAAAAGCTACAAATCAAACAAAACCCACCTATAGGCAGGATACAGCCTGGGGCCCCCTAATTTCAGGCCTCTAGGTACTGTATATCAAATAACTGGGAATAAAATTTAAAAAGAGATGTGAAAACACTTTGAATAGTTAAAAGGTGTTATGCATTTTAAGTCCTCCATTACTATTCACTCATTTCATCAAATTTCTTGAATGCCTACTTTGGCCAGATTTAGATAGGATAATTTACTAGGTATATGAATCCATTAAAGTAACAGAGTCCACTACTGTTTATAAACCTGTTAACATGGCACTGCTCAAACTAGTAACTACAGAATTTTGGACCAGCAATGTGTGTCTGTATACTTTTTTTTGCAATTAATAATTTGGTGCTTCATTGTCTGGATGTGTCCTTAGACTTTTTTCCACTCTGCTCTCAACACTGCCAAGAATATGTGACCCCTCTCCTACCCCAGTTGTCCATCCAGAAACATAAGAATTATCTTTGATTTCTCTTGACGATTACTGGTATTGGATTGGAAATGGAAGATCATGGTAGAGTCCCGTCAATTCTACCTCCATACACCTTTCCGACATCTTTATCATAATGAACTGTAGATCAAATCACATCATTCTCCTCCTTATATCATTCAATAGCTACCCACCGCCCTCACAATAAAATCTAGACTAATTAACATGACATAAACACCTTTCATGATCCAGACCCTAATTACTTCTTTATCCCCAGCAAGCCCTCCAAATCCAGCCATCTGAACTAGATAATTTCCCCCAAAAAGCCTTATGTTCTCATGCCACTATACCTTTGCATGCACTGTGGTTCATCTCTGGAGAATTTGTATGGACTCTCCCCATCCCCCAAAACCCCCCTTGATTTCTTCTCTTGGCTATAAAATCAAGGCTCAGCTGAGATGTTATGTTCTTTAAGAAGGCTTTCCTAGCTACCTTTCACTTTTTCTCTCACCCCATTACCACACTGAGACTGTTTCAAGCTTCTGTATTCTCCTGCTTACCCTGTCTTACTTCTAGTATAACAATGTATCATAAACTGTTTACTTCTTTGACTCTATCTACACTTTGCTATTTGAAGACAGGGAATATGTTCTTTAAACTCTGAGTCCCCATTATGATAGTGTCTGACACACAAGAAACAAACTTATTATTCAAGGATAATGAAATCAGCACTATCAATTCTATTCAATTTGCTGTTAAAATATACAACAGCAGATACTGAAACCATAAATCCCTCTTAAATATAGGATTATATTTACTAAGCTCTTTATAAAAGTATCACTATGCACTGTACTACATATAACTCATCTTTTGAACACTGCATCTAAGTCTTTTCTATGTGCATCTGAATTTCTCTATTAAATGCAAAGTTGTCCTCATATCTTATCAAAATTCAGTAAGAGAGGGGTGCCTGCGTGGCTCAGTCGGTTAAGCGTCTGCCTTCAGCTCAGGTCATGATCCCAGAGTCCTGGGACAGAGCCCCACATCCAGCTCCCTGCTCAGCAGGGAGCCTGCTTCTCCCTCTCCCTCTGCTGCTCCCCCTGCTTCTGCTCGCTCTGTCAAATAAATAAATAAAATCTCTTAAAAAAATTCAATGAGAAAAATCATTTGTGGAAGAACAAGAATATGCAGTTACAGAATGCATTAAAACAAAAACATTAGTAAACTTGCTTAAACTGGGATTTATATTATTCATTGCTCAATGAAGAAACTCCACTTTAAGAGTTCTACCAAATTCCCTCACCTTTCCTTATATGTCATTATGGGTCAGGGTACCAAATTAAGAGAGAATACAAAACTCCGTTATCTTAGTGTTTTCTTTACAGACCAAAAGTAAGTAAACGTCACCTTAAATTCCTCTAACAAAACATATCTTTAAAAATTACGTTATTTAACAAAACTGGAGGTGAAGATTTCGAAGTTCACTAAAGCATATGAGAAATAAATTTTAGGGCGCCTGGGTGGCTCAGACGGTTAAGCATCTGCTTTCGGCTGGGTCGTGATCCAAGAGTCCCAGGATTGAGCTCCACGTCCGGCTCCCTGCTCAGTGGGGAGTTTGCTTCTCCCTCTTCCTCTGCCCCTCCCCCTGCTCCTTCTCTCTCTCTCTCACTCTCTCAAATAAATAAAATCTTAAAAAAAAATAAATTTTATTGGTTTTTTATTTTTACTTATTTTATTAGAGCGAGAGAAAGCACAAGCAGGGGGAGTGGCAGGCAGAGGAGGCAGAGAGAGAAGCAGGCTCCCTGCTGAGCAAAGAGCCTGATGGGGGACTTGATCCCAGGACCACGGGATCATGACCTGAGCCGAAGGCAGATGCTTTACCAACTGAGCCACCCAAGCATCCCTGGTTACTTCTGTTTCTATATACAATTTCTCTGTACAATTCTCAAACATTATTTTTTTTTAAAAGACTTTATTTATTTATTTGACAGAGAGAGCACAAGCAGGGGGAACAATAAAGGGAGAGGGAGAAGCGGACTCCCCACCGAGCAGGGAGCCCAATGTGGGGCTTGATCCCAGGCCCCTGGGATCATGACCTGAACCGAAGGCAGACGCTTAACCATCTGAGCCACCCAGGCACCCCAAATTCTCAAACATTTTGATGCTAAGTTTTTGGGTTTTTTTAAAGATTTTATTTATTTATTTGACATAGAGACAATGAGAGAGGGAACACAAGCAGGGGGAATGGGAAAGGGAGAAGCAGGCTTCCCGCCCAGCAGGGAGCCCAATGCGGGGCTCGATTCCAGGACGCTGAGATCATGACCCCAGCCGAAGGCAGTTGCTTAACCAACTGAGCCACCCAGGTGCCCCTTGATGCTAAGTTTTAAGTGTATGAAATTTTACTTCAGATACTGAACACTTCCTTAACCATTTCTACTAGCAACCTTTCTTTCCTCTAAGGAAAAAAAAAAACCCTAAAAGGTACAGGACATGAAATTTGTAGAGCCAACAAAACTTTTTTCTTAATCCCTTAATTTAGTCCATTCCCGGCTCTTGCACTAAATGAATTAACTATATCTACTTTTGTACATTCATTATACTATCAAGGTTTGCCCTATTCCGTTAAGAGAAAAAAAACTAAGTTTCTTTTTCAGTATGTAGCATGATCCAGTGGTAACAGTTAAACTTTCTATGAACCTAGGACAGTGAGGTTTATTTGAACTCTATAATGCTAATTCCCTATATCAAAGCAACATTATTAAGACAAGGTAT